TTGTCCTCAGAAAGCCCTTAAAAAAGTTCCTGGACCCCTTCCACAGTTAAAATGAGCAGAGTGAGAACAGGATGAAAAACATCTGCCTGCTGGCACATCTCACAGTGCTTTACTTGGTGGAGGGCCCTGCTTGCACAGACAGGACATGAGTGTATCTTATTTTTTTCATTTGGGAAAGGCTTCATTACTGTTTATTCATTCACTCGGGCTCCATCATCTTGATAACATTAGCCTGGCAGCTAAAGAGTCAGGAAAAGCTGTCTGGCTGCCACCAGACTTCATGTCACTTGTATATTCCTCTGCACCAAACAGGGATTTAGGTCCTCAAGTGAGAGGAGAAGGAGAGCTGGTTAAAGACCTAGCTGAATCAGTATATTTAGTGTTTATGGATTGCCTGACAGGTGGTAAAGGACTGATGTTATTGTTTCTAGTTATTGGTATATGTGCATATTTAACCTTTTCTATGAATGATTAATTTTGTATTGACAAAATGATCGTGTTTGTAGTTAGGCACATGATGATTTTTACTGCAGCCTTTGCTCTCAGTGCTTGAAATTCACTTGAAATTACATTTCTAGCAAGTGAGATAGAGTTCATCATTTAGAAACAGCTGAGAAACTAGATAAGCAAATTGTTAAAAAAGTGGTAAATGACCAGATTTGAGTACAGTGGTAAGCTTTTGAGTATCATCTCCTCTGAGGGTTTAAATCTGACTTTAAAAGCAAAGAGACCTGTTTAACTTCCTAGAAGAATGTCATCAAGTGGTTATTAAACAGCATAGTGAAAAGTGTTAAAGCTAATCAGATTAAATATCTTCCTCCTGAAGCCAGAAGGCATCTGTTCTTTCAAGACACCTGAGTTGTGTGATCACCCAATAAACAAAAATTGCTGGAACATGAAATTAAAGCAAAGAATAATACCAAAGGGCTGAACAACAGAGAAACTGGAGCACACTCTGCTGGTATCATTAGCAGTGATTGGTGTCTTTGCTCACATATCTTTTGTCCTTTCCTCATTGTCCTCTGCATATGCTATTTCTCTGCCTGGAGGCAAGTCCTTAAAACAGAATTATTTGCTTGTTCATAAATTCATTTTTCCTTCTAGTGAATATGAGGAGGAGGAAGATTTCCTGCTCTTGGGGAAATTGCAGATTGGAAATAATATTTTTTCCCTCAGTACTCATAGTACCACTGCTTCTCTTAAAATAATTTTCAGTACAATAGGAATAGTCTCAGTGCCCTTCAGAATTTGGAGGAGTTGAATGGGGGCAGTCAGAGGCCTGTTGTAGCCCACACAGGCAAATGCAATTCCCAAGGGTCACAGATACGGGCAGTTCCTTGAAGCCATGCCCTCACTGTCAGTGTTTCTATTGTAATGAGCAATTGAACCTATTTCTGAGTCTCCTGTGTGCTTGTTATCGTTTTATTTTCTTATTAGTTTTGAGATTAGATAGATCTGACTCTTAGCTTCCTATTTTTGAAGAGCTGACCATGCATAGCATTTTTATATTGAGGATGAAGGAGCTGCCAGTTCTCCTCGCGAGATCTTTGAGTCAGGAGGATGGCGAAGCAGTTATGTTTGATTGTTCTGTTGCTGATCACTGGGCCAGCGTATTTTATTTCTATTTTGTCTTTTGTAGAAGGAATCCATAGAATACAAATGACAAATAAATGTGAAGAGAATTTTTGGTATTAAATGTTTGCAGCACGTTTTTACTCTGTAAGATATAACCATGTGTGTTTTCAGCTCTATATAAAGCATTGTGAACAAGCATGAAGTTTTCTTTTACATCTGAAAAAATGCTGTACGATTTTTCTCTTCACCCCACACTCTCCAGTCCTCTTCAGGCAAAATGTTTTCTCTGATAGCAAAAACATAAGCATCAAAGACCATTAGCACAATTAAAAGAATACTACGGGTCTCTGGAGGGATCCTGGGACACCACTTAATGCACTCCAGTATTTTTACTCTCTGAGTTTCCCTAACTGGCCTCAACCTAAGGTTAAGGGCTGTTCAAGTTAAAGATGCTACTTGTGTGAGGTCCTAGGCTTTGCTGAACAAAATAAAACAGATATTCTCAAATTATTTCAGCATAGATTGTGACTGCTGCCCAAACATGCTTTTTTGCTTCATCTAGAGGTATCAGGACATCATATGTCAGCCCTTGAAGGTGATTCCTCAACAGAGTTTGATTTTTATGTACCAGGCTGTTTTCCTCATGTGGTTAAACAGAGCTACCATCTGATGCTGGGTTCACTTACAGGCATCTGTTCTTCCTTTTGTTTTCCTTTCACTTCTGCATATATTTGTTTGGTATTACCTGAGGAGTAACATATATTTGCTCTGTGGGTTTTCAAAATGCACAAGCTGTACGCAGAAATAAAGTAGTAAATTTAGCTTGTCCAAGCTGACAAATGTTTTGGGTTTGTGTTTTGGTGTTTTTTTTTTGTATCTTGTGTTTTTGTGTGCATTTGGCTGTCAAACAAGAAAATTGCACAATAGGAACAATAGTTCCTTCAAGTTCCAGGTTCCAGTAAAGGTGTTTTTGAAGTATCATCTCTATGCCTGTCAGAACAGATTAGATCATGGTCTGACCTTGTGAACTAAATGAGCCAGGTAGCCCCTCACTTTGTTTAGAACTTAATACCACCAGAAAACCCCGAATCAGTCTGTCTTATTTGGCACTATGACTGTGAATTGTCAGGAGCAATGGAGAAATGATCCCTGCTGTCAGGGAGTGCTGGTTGGTGCAGAGGCAGGTTTGGGGATCTCTCCTTTCAAAGTGGGTAATAAAAGAAATTAAATTATGTGGGTTTTATACAGAATGGGATCCCAAAAGGTCTAATGGGTGCTTCTGCTATTGGCCTTTCAGCCCTCTAAACTGTAGCAAACAACTGAGGAAAAGGCCTAGGTATAGTTGAAGACTTTAGGTTTTTAGCTCTGGAGAAGTTCTGTTTATCCAAAGTATGGACTAATGGCAACTTCTTGGAATTGTGTTTGCTAAGGAAAACTAAAATTCTGCATGGACATTGTCATCTGAAATAATAAAGTCAGGTGAAACATAAGAAAAGAGGGATAAATACTTCCTGTTGTAGATATACATGATATATAAGGTATATAAAATAACTCTTGCCAAAACTAAGTGGAAGACTCCTGGTGACTTCAGTATTCATTGGATCAAGTCTGGAGATCTGTTGCCTGATTCTATTTAGTCTGATATTGTAGCTGCACACACACACACACACACCCTGCCATGAATAGCTTTAGGAAAGTATTGTCAGATGGTGAATGCAGATCAGATGTGTATACCCTTTTACTAAAGTTTTTTCTGGGAAGAATTTGGCCAAAGCTTAGGACTGACTTTCTCCTCTTGTAGGTGGAAGGTGAGGAGAAAACTCCCTTACACATCAATCTTCTTGTTGCCTCAGATAAAGCAGTTCTTATTAGATGTGAGCAGTTGTCTTCACCGTGGCTAATTTCTCTGCAAGATTAAGTATTCTTTCAATTGCTGGTGGGAAGCAAGAGAGCTCCTTAGTCCAACATGAAATTGCATGAACTAAGATATTGACTCCAACCTGTGTATGTCTGTTCTTCCTAGTAGCCCTTCAGTATTACAAGACTTAGGGCAGCCACTGGATAACCTATGTTGGTTTTGAACGCTAAAAGGTCTTGTCATGCTTTGCCTTTTAAGCTCAGAGGAGGGGTATTGGCAGAGGAAGCATTCCCAAAAATTGCTTTGGTTTTCAATATTTCAGTGGTGGTGATATCTGCCAGAAAAGTTCAGTGTCTGGACATGGATTTGTTCAAGTTGTCATTCAACCTTTGTGCCAGCATTGGTTAGTGTGTTTCAGATGCACTGACTGTGAGTATCTTCAGATGTAGGGGATTAAATTCCACATTTTCAGACTGATGCTCTGCAAGGGAGTGGCTAAGGCCAGAGATTTGCTGTAGGATAAGCACCTTACATTCACAATGCCATCTGGTCAGCCTCTTTCAGAGGCTTTCAGCATTATCAGAGAAATCAGGTCACTATGTGCCTGTGAGAGATCCTAAACTGAACATGACTTGTCTGTCTCCTTCAACCTGACACTATCACAAAAATCTCTGTAGTCACAAGAAGCTGTCATTCCAAGCCCAGTTTCTGTCAGAAACTCAAAACTGCATCAAGAATGATGCATAATGATCCAGTTCAAGAGCTGATTAGTCCCAGCTGGCAGTACAGCACAGATACTCACAGGTGATGATTTAAACCTTATATAGGAGGCATTCAAAAGTTCAGTGCACACAAAAATGCCCGGTCAGTGGATGATTGTGATTAACTGCCCACTAGGCACCTGTACAATCTCTTAACTGTATTAATGTTCACATGCATTTCTGGTAAGTGTAGTGCAGTCAAAGCAACTTATAGATCCTGGCTAATAGGATCTCCAAGTCCAAAAGATAAAGAGCAGCAGTGTTTCCCTCGTTTGACTGGCAAGATGGCACTTTAGGGCTTAAGTCAGTGAAGAAAAGTGGTTATCTGCTGGGCTCTGTGATTGTTGTTTCATCATCAGCAATGATCCTAACCTCAGGGGGGGGAAAGACATTCTTGAGGCACTGTTCAGTTACGCTGTAGTCCATACAGTTTGCCTGGTCTATGAAAATCAAATCTCTCTATCATGCTCTTAAAATCAGCTCCCAAAACTGAAGTGTACTGGAAAATGCTGTCTTTGCAAAGTGAGTTCTAAAGACAAGACTTCCTGTTTGCACTGTTGCAGAGCCCTGTCACACAGTCAGTGCCAGGTGTGTGGTTTTACACACAGCTTTGTGCCAGCAAGGCTAAAACCTGTTTCCACCCTGGAATTTTCCCCAAGAGGTCAGTATGCCTGGGAAGAAAGATGTTGTCCTACCAACAGAAGTCTGAAGAAAAAGAGAGAGCATTTACAAATGCTATCAGAGAAGCAACCAGACGGTTGAAAACAAGGTTCTGAATGAGATAATGCAGAGTGCAGCAAGTCCCTCTTTAAAGTGTTCTTTTCAACTCACTGGCTTTCCAGTTAACTTTTCATTATTTGGGAAACAGTAAACGATGGCAATTGTCACTGGGCTCTTATCTTGAAATTGTTTGAATGTACCAAGGTTAAACAATTCATCATTATCCTTTAACTTAGTTAAATATCTACCAGTATTGCTGCTTTCTTCTGCAAAAATCTTCAGGTGAGTGGCTGATGAAAAGAGAGATTAAAAAAAAATCTGACCTGAAGTTATGTCTAGCAAAGCACTATGTGCATGGTTGGCCTTAACCTCATAAGCTCCACCTTCGATGAACTCTGAAAAGAACTCCCCTAGATTTCCATCAATTTAAGTGAAGACTCAAGAGATTTTAAAACAGATCCTTAAGTCTGAGAAGGGAAGCCAATCTTCTCTTTGTGATGTTATTATAGCTTTGCACCTTTTCCTGTGTATTGAAAAAAATTTCTCTCTTGCTTCCTTCCCCAGCTTTTTTTCCATGCTTTCTTCTGTTCCTACACATGTTTTTACAGTTTTTGATGCCAAGCTTTTCTTACTGGCTGTTCTCACTGACTAGAAAAGTCATCTTTTGTCTCAAGCAAGATGGTCCCCCACCCATTCTTTGTCAGATCTATGTGAGATCTTATCTCAGAGATATTATTCTGCTGTCTAAATTTCCTCAAGTTGTTCTCCTTGTGCTGAACTACTTTAACTCCATGAATTTCTGTTCATGAGACTGACTGGAGCGCACATTGTCAAAAAGATGTGGCATAAAATATTTCTGCATTGCATTTGTTGTTTCCAGACATAATTTTTTTTTTCAAGGACAGTTTCAGTTACAAGATTTGAGCATCTCTGTTTCAAGGCATCATCTAATCATGTTAAAGTCACAGTGAGTAGGGATTTTTCTGTCACTTCGTTTGTGTTTCCGCCTTCACTGTAGTAATTTTGGATCATGTAATCTCAGTTACCAGACGTGGAAGTCTGTTCCCAGCTAATTTCATTAATTTCTCAAATTAAAATTTATTTTTGAGATTCTTCTTATATAGTTCTATTGATTTGCTTTATTGAATATTATCATAAAAAAAAAAACAACCCAAATAAGCACAGTACTTGAAGGCGTGGGAGGAAATGGTAAGAGCAGAGGTAGACATAGGAGACATAGGCAGAGCTGGTAGGCATGAAGAGCTGACATCTGGAGAGGTTAAACTATTTATTTTGAGAACCAACATATGTACAGGACTATTGGCTGTAGAAGTCTCTCCAGGCAAAAGCTAGACAGCTGCTAGAAAAGTGTATGTGGGAATAGAGATAGTCCCACATATTTTTGAGGTAAGGTAAATTGCCTCAAAGTGGAGTATTTAGGCCTTTTGTTATAACTAGAAAACTTGCTGAAATACATCTTGCTTTCTAGGTTAAGGATAAGCACTATTTTTGTCTAAGGCTGCCTAAATGCTCAGGTTTCTCGCTGTTACAGCAATCGAAGGCTGAGATATGCTGTGGGCTGGTTGGATCTCCCAGATCCTAACAAGGTAAGTACCTCAGTACTTAACCCAATTTGAGAATTGCTGAGTTCTGGGATTCCCTTCTGAGAACGTTAAGGCTCACATCTGCATTCCAAAGAGGCGTCATAGGAAGACCCATCTGCAGCCAGGGTGTCACACGGATATCTGAGTAAAATCCAGGTAATTCTCCACACCAGCCCCTGTGGCTGAAGTGCTGGTGTTGTCTAGAGTGGATTTCTAGCAAGGGTTCATCTAATGGTATTCATGCCATTCCTGTACTGAACAGCTGAGTTTGGTTATACATGGCAGTGAAAAGACCATGTTTAGTTTTCATACATCCCCTGGTTCAACAGATCATATTAATGCCATGTAAGCAGGGCATCTTTACGGTGATGCCCATGGTATGCATGCCAGCCAGAAGATTTATGAGAAGAACACAGGCATTTCTTTGCTCTGCCTTGACAAGTCTTGTTATTTTTCTCAGACACACTAAGTAAACTGTAAAACCTTGATTCATTTGTTATTCACACCCCACCTCTGAGTTATATGTACAACTTTTACAGGCAAAACAATGAACAGTACTAGTTCTTCCATAAATAACTTAGACTGTCTGTTGTTAAATGTCATATTTCCGATCTGTGTCATGCTCTGTGGCACCACATCCATCAGAGATTATGCTGCTGGAATGAATGTGGGCCACCTAAATATACCTGGATATTCTAGGGACTATTTGTTCTTTTTCTGTCCCTGTCAAAACAAAATGAGGAGAGTGATATGTAGCTTCCAAAGAGGCAAAGTTACTGAATCGTAAACAGATTTTGCAGAGGCCTTTAAAAGCCTCTAAGCTAGTTAAATGGCATAGCAGGAACCTTAATTACCTAGCAGCTGTGGCAAATGTTCTCCTTTCCCCAGTTACCTACAGCAGCTTTTTTGCAAACGCTATAAAACGCTCTTGGCAGACTACAACCAGGATGAGCTGTAGCTGAGATGAAATAGTGGGAGTGTTACATCTTTTTCCTAGGTGTTCCTAAACCTTCTCTGCTGCCACCCAGAGTCAAGGACAACAACTCATGATGAATCATGCAGGCAAGTGCCCCGAGGTGTTTGTTTTGCAGACTATAGTTTCTTTTCTGAGGGGAGGACAGCATTGCCTCTTTACCTATACGGAAAAAAAAACTCACTACAGTTTGGTGGGAAGCACTCTGACATCCTATTAAAAGTTACCGTGGAAATGCTAAAATTGCTAGATGCTTAGCGTCTGCTGTCTCTCTGTTTTCTTCCCATTGTCATTTCTTCATTCCTTTGTAGATAAGGGCATCACATCTGCGGTTCTCTCATGATATTGTTGTACAAAGCTGTAGCATGTCATTAGATATATTGTGGTATGTGAAATAACAGGGCTGTCTGACCTCACAGGATAGTGTTATTCATTTTTTAAGACCACTTTGTCTAAAGGAGCCCTGGGTACATCCTGTTCATAGACCATTATCTTACCCTGTTTGCTCTGCTACTTGTGTAACTTTTTTTGGTTCCTGATGTGCTGCAGTGAGTTATTTCTCACAGTTTGTGCCAAGCAGAAACACTATCAGAGGTCCAGTAAAGTGGGGTCCACAGAGAATTAAAATTGTATTTATTTAGATTATATATGTGGAGTTTGGCGTTTAAAAATACTCCCCCAGCAAGAGAAGATTCTAGACTGACTCCACTGTGTAAGACCATTTAAGAAGTTAGGGACAGGAAAATCTGACATTATTCTGTGCCCTATGAAATATTGACCATACATACCTCCATAATTTGGTCTCTGTCTGTGCATGCTTAAACAATGAAGTATTTCCTCCTTCAAGGTTTGTCTTGTAACCTTACAATAACACTTTACTAGCAGTTACTGGAACAAAACTGCTGACTTCCTTCTAGCTTTTCACGGCAGTGGGAGTGAACACAAGTGAGTGGTTTTAGTGCAGGTAGACTGAGTTTTGGTTCATTTTCTTTAAAAAGCTCTCACCCTCAGATTTGGTCATGGTTATAAAGTTCATTTTCACAGGTATGAGATTCTGTATGGATATAATTGTATACCTGCTCTTTTAGAGAGTCTTGCCATCTATTTGGAAGAGAAGCTTCTTGCTGTACTTAGTGCTTTGTATGTCAAGTGTATAGCGGATACACATATGGGACAGCCCAGCTGTGATTACAGCTGTGTTAAACTCAGGGTTGTTAGGGTATCTGTCTTACCTGTGCTGTATGTTGCAGACACCCCCTGCTTGCCTGCCTTTGCTCTTTCAAAGCTAAATAACAAGTTTCCTATCACACTCAAATTTGCAAGAGTAAGGAGAGTTTTAAGTCAGAAGCAGGCATAAAATCTGAAGACTCCATAGTTAATATAAAGCAAAGCAGGGCAGTGCAAAATAATTTAGTCTCTGTTATCCTCTCATTTTATTTTTCTTTCTATTCTTAATTGTTAAATTGCAAATACATGTAACCATCTGAAAGCTGATTGAAATGCAGCTCATGGAAACCTCACATTTATATGCCAAGCAGTCATTCTCCAGGTAGGCAGCTCTAATGTGATTGCCCTGAGGTGGAAGGGCCACCCACAATGCGGAAAGAGTAATTTATCTCTGTGCCAGCTCAGACTTTGCCCTCTTTGCTCAGACTGCCAATTCGGGTAGCAGTGAGTGTCCGCAGGGATGATAGTGGCCAAATAGAGGCACCTGCTCATTGCCAGCTGTAAGCAGGCCTCCTGGGGAGCCCTAAACTCAGACTGGTGTTGCTGCAGGGGTGAGGGGTTGGGGTCTTGTTGTATTTTATGCGTTCTTTAATGCTGGCATCTGTTGCTAGTTCTAGTCTGGCCTACATTTTCTGTGTGGCACTGAGACTGGGCTCAAGAACAGCTGTCTTGGTGAGGCCCATTATTCCCATATTCAGGGATGTAGAAATAGAAGAAGTGTAGCTCTCAGTACAGGTGGAAGCCCATTTCTTCTCAGCCATACTTGGCTAAGGAAGACTACTAGTCTCAGACTTAAACTGGGGTTTAGGGCTAAGAAAAGTAAACATGTTGGTTCCTGGGTTTTTCCAAGATTCTTGAAGGCTCAGAGCAATAAGAGGGAAGAAGCTGGTAGGGACTTGTGTGTGGTCAGTTTTTTGTCTGGCCCCTGTGCCCTGTAAGGATCTGGTTTTGGTTTGGGGTATGGATTTGTTCTGGGGGAAGAGAAGCCTTCAATGGCTCAGGGTATCTATCTCAGTGGGCTTAACAGTGCCCAAACCGGCGGTTGCAGCAATGCTGTCCTGGTGCCAGTACACACAAGCTGCAGTCAGAAGGGGTGAAGTCTGCAAAAGTATTCATTGCATTGTTGTAGCATCCTTCAACATTAAAACTTTTATTTTATAAAAATTCAGGTTGTCCAGCAGTATGCAGTAGATCTTGCTAGCCGGTGACCCAAACTCAGAACTTTTTTCCTGAAACTATTGGATCTTTCCAGATATGTTTTCATACTGAACAGTATATATTATATTTCATAGTAAATATCAATATATGTCATAGTAAACAGAACATCCTGGGAAAACAAATGGTTCAGTTCAAATGTGTATATTTTGTTTTTCTTTTATGATTCTTGCTACTTGATATGCTAAAAATATATGAAACCAAAAGTTTCTTCTACATAGACAGAGCGATCTTTCTATTGCTAAAACTCTTGGTACAGAATATACTGCTCTCCAGAAAGCCCCTCCTTCACCTTTTTTTTCACAAAGTGAAAATGTATCAAAATCAGCCTGGATCCATGAACTGTATTAGCTTTGACGACAGCATATTTTCTGAGAGAAACAAAGTACTGTCAGAGTATTGCTGTGCTAAGTACGTATCTGGGTGTGCATAGACACATACTAGCTAGGTTTTCAAATTCTAAGGGGATTAAGAGCTCAAATTCATTGAAATTCAGAAGTGAGACATTTTGCTTCCTTGGAGATGCAGGCCCTAGAGATTTAGATTCCCGGGGGATGCAACCAGGGGAACAGACAGCTATTAACTTGAACAAAAACTAGGAAAATAGTATGTAGAAAAAAAGCTTGTTGTTAGTTCTGGACTGAAGAAGCAGGTGAAAGGACATCTGGATGCTATTTATGTTTCCTTTTGGGCACCATGCAGGTGCATTTCTGTGATTTTATCAGTGGTTTAATATTACTTTTGACAGTGGTGGAATGGTTAAATCTGTAATAGGGACTACATTTGTATCCATCATCTATATGTGTATCCCCTCCCACACAGTTTTCAGCTTTAGATACCCATATCACGAATTTAAATGTACTAAAAATACATTTGTTTTTCTTGGTTGCCTGCTGCAGGCTCCCCTGAGCTTTGCAGTCACACATTGATTCGACACAGAGCCTTTACAAACACTGCTCTACAAGAATAGTCATACAGTCACACCTAAAGTCTGATCTTTCAGGAGAGGGTTAGAAAAAGATCAAGATGACAAAGAGCCTTCCCTTAGTTTAACTTTCTTGCTTCTGGCAGATGGTGATTTAGTGCCTTACTGAGCCAGGGTTTGCATCCGTATCGCATTTGCTAGTCACCGATGAACCTAATCTTCAATAATTTGTCTAATCAAACAAATTGGAGCCTTTTTAGGCTTTTGCTCTGTGTACCATTCTCTGGCAAGTTCCACAATGGATGATGGATTTTGGCAATATTTTGTCCAAGAGTTCTACCTTTCTGGGAGCCTTATGGTTGATTTGTTCTGCAGGCAGAGGTGTCTTCCCAGCAGCACTGTAGGTCCAGGGAAATCTGAAGGTGCAGAAATGCTCTGTCCACAGCATGGGAGTATCACAGCACTGTATCTGCAGCAAAGACTTCTCTCCCATGGCCTCCTCCATCACTCATTCACCCTGCAGCTTCAGCAACTGGTGAGTAAGGTACGCTATAAATATGCAGCAGGACCTAACTGGCAGCTCCCTCTGTAGGAAAAATAACACAGAAACTGCCCAGGCCATCCCTCTCCTGTGCATGTGAGGAAAGCTAGCCCAGGAGCGCTGCCCACCTTTAGCAGGCAGGTGTTGACAAGGAAGACTCTGTCTGCAGGGTTAGGTGTAGGAAACACTTGTCTCTCCCAAAATCTTAGCAGGTAATGATAAAACACATGGATGAATGAGGGAGCAAAAAATCTCCACTGTTGGCCAGTCTGGAGCTGCTTCGTGGCTCTGCACTTGCTTTCCGTGTCTCCAGCCTGTTCTGGAGCTAGCAGTGGTTTGCCTGCCCACAGCCTAGCTGGATGCTGCAGGACATGCAGCGTCCCACCGAGTTACATGGGACCCATGCACTGATAATGGCCACGAGGTCCTGCTGTAGCAGGAATGCTCCCCAGCCCCGAGAAGGCCCCGAGGGGCTGACAGCACCATCAGGTCATCCTGTAGCAAGCTCTGCAGCAGCAGCAACTCTGTGGGAGACCTGAGTGTACCAGATGGGGTACCAGGGCTCTCCTTGCCAGCACCAGCACCAAGGGGCCCTGCCTGGAAGAAAGTGTAGCTTCTGTCACATTTTAAAGTATTGCAATGAAAAACTCTGTGATTAATTTCTTAGACATTTCTTTCAGGCAGGCTGTTAATTAAACCCCAGAAAACTCCATTAACACATCCTTACAGGGTAAGTGCTTTGCCTTACTCAGGTCAAGTTTAAACAGCTAAGCCACTACATAAACATCTCCTTGTCTGGAAGCTAAGTAGTACCACTGATGAGGTTTCTTTTAAGCAGCCGAAAGCTTTGTATGTGAATAACTTCCCAGAGTGACTGGTTTTTAACTCTATAATTATTGGATGATATATATTTTACAGCAGCGCAAACACCTTTTATGTGCAGAAAATCAAAGCAAGCAATGAAAAAAAGCTACTTTATTAACTTGGTGGTTAAACACACTTTTTAGTATGTTGGTCAAAAATTACCTGCTGAATGTAAAAGGCACTTTCAGAAATTCATGCAGTTTAAGAATTAAATGATCAGGCCAGCTCTTGAAAACAGCATTTTGATTTCTGCATTTTTAGTATGCAATTTTGTGTACTTTTTGCTATCATAAATGTGATTGTTTCCTTTAAATGAGGAACAATCACATTTATTGTTTGTTGCTAATGCTGGATTTTCTTCCTTTGTAGTTTCTTAAGGTTATCAAAGCTAAAATAAAGAGGAAACTCTTTTAGTTCTCAAAAATAGAGGACTGGCTTAGAGAGTTAAAGACAGAGTTTAGAATGAAAATGGTTTTTTACTTTACCTTCTCTCTGACTTGTGTGCTTGGACAACACAAATACAGTATACTAAAAGCAGAACCTATGAGAGTTCACTGATTCCTCCAAATCTTGTCTCAGAAATGAGTCCCACAGCTCCCTGCAAAGTAATTGGTCTAATTAGGTAGTAGGAAGGAGCTTCTTTAAATTCCTCAGAAATTAAGACTTGTCATCCGCTTAACATCTTAGCATCTGTTACTGCCTCTTGCACATTTCTCTACTACATCAGTCTGAAGGACACTTTCCGGGACCTTTCAGAGAGAAAAACAAAACAAAAAAAAACATAAGTTGAAACAGAGAAGAAATTGGCACTTTCTTCAGTGAGATGAAGCATGTAAGGCATTTCACTCCCTCCTTATTTCTCAGTTTGGTGCACGTTTGTCTGGGTGAGTACAATAATCAATTTGTTAAATAAAAATGCAGGAGGATACAAGCAGAACCTTAAATCTTGTATTAATCCTTACTGATGTGGTAATGTTGTCCTGAAATATTTTCCTTGGCAACTGATCCCCGTGCGAATGTTACCCTCTGTGTTTATAATTCAGAGTTTGGTTTCAAAGGGGCTGTTAGAAGCTCTAACAGTCAGTAGAATGACAACTAATTTGTTGTTTCTTTTTTTTTTTTTTGTTTTAACTTTGCTGTTGTCTGGCAGGAAGTAAGTAACTATTTAATTCTGGGTAATTGCTCTTGCTGTGGGCATAATTTTAAGACACAATGTGGTTAGAATATTGGGTAAGGTACTGAGGCACTGGGAAAGTTTCAGACTTACATGTGTAGAGTATGTGAGAGGTGTACAGTCCCTGGAAGCTGAAAAGGTTAATTTTGCAATGAAGTTATCTGTGACTGAGATGTTTTAAAGAGACCCTGCTACTTGGTTTGTTTGGTTTTGGTTTGGGTTTTTTTTCCATATACTCTTCCTCTATTTGATGCTGTGTGAACACTGGCACAGCAACAGGTAGATGTAATATTATTTAAAATACCTGTACCGATATAGTTCTGAAAGTCCATTGCAGCAAATATGTAAGTTACACACTCATAGTATTTCCCAAGCAGCTCATGTTTACTGAAAGTCAGGTAACAAAGCCAAATAACTGCCACCTACAAAATGCTTTTATTTGGCTTCTGTTTTGTTTTAATTGCAGTTCAGGCAAATTATGCCCCCTATTTCTTTGATAATGGAGCCAGAAGCACAAATGGGAACATGGCACTTCTCAGCCTTTCGGAGGACACACCTGTTGGTCAGTATTAAAACTAGTATGTTTAAATTGTGACACTGGACCTTCTTGCTCTTTTGATTAGCAACATGTATTTTGTTGTCGGTTGTTGTTGTATACTGTGGTCTTATGTGCTTTTCTCTCAAGCTTTTAGTTGGCCCAAATTTGAAATGACATGTTTGAATTGTGGCTGTAATTTAAAACACAAATTTTAGCTCCCCTTTCCTTGGTCCACCAATTTTTTCACAGCATTAGAGCACAGATATTGCTGGGATCAGAAATAATGGGGGTGAGGGGCTTCTTACCAATCTGTAGATGCTTATGAGAAGAAAGCCTAGTTGTTAGTAATTTTATCAGCCTTGGTAAAAGCAAGCTGTACATTGAAAAGTAATAGAGGCATGATTTTCTTTGAACAGTTATCACATTTTTCATGTTTATGGTACAAATGTTATGGTAGAAAATGTTTCTACTCAGAGTGAAAATTGCTTTGTCCAAATGACTGATGTTTTCCAAAAAGGGTTTGTTTTATTGAAAATTCAAAAATTGGTACATTTCTCAGCTTTCAGCATTTTGAGACAGGTCTGTTTATGCTTCTTTTAACTGTAGTTGCATTAAGAAAAATTCAACAGGAACAAAAAGGCCATTTATAATCAATATTTTTCATGGAGAAAGAATAATTTCTGAACACTAAAGAAAAATCTATGCAAAATCTGTTACAGTGATGAACACTGCCTTTTCTTCAAACATTGTACTGAGGCTTGGTCTAGGATTTTTTTCCTGTTTGTCTGTAGCTTTTACAGTCTAAATCAGGAGAGTGCTTAGCTATTGCAAACTGAGTACTGTTACCTGCCTCATGCATAGAGGAGGAAGATGGCTGTGCAGAGGTTGCACAGCTGGAGGGGGGAAGAAGGATCCAGAGGGCACAGCCCCATCTGGAAGACCAACACTGCTGGCCTTGCCTTCCTAAACATGACCGGGGTCACTCATTGCTTTGGAAAGCAGCAGCTACCTGGCGTTTGCTCAAAGTCTCCATTCCTGGCCCAGTGGTGTCAGTGTCAGCCAAGATCCACACTGGGCATGCTAAACGATGAGGATAGGGTAACTGGGAAGCAGTGACTTCTTTGCCTGCTCAACCAGAGAAGAGGGGAAGGTGGGACATAGCATAGAGGTGACGCATCTAGCCAAAGAACTTAAAAAGAGCTTGCTTATGATGCAGAAGGGATTTGCTAAAAGCTTGGTCAAGCTTAAGGTGGAAACCTCAGCTGAAGGCCAACAATAATGTAGTGGCACTTGCAAAAGCCAGAAGCAGATCAAGGAGCTGCAGTTTTTGCTGTGCTTCTGTCTGGATTCATGCAGAAACCATACTTGCTCAGCCTTGGTGATCCAGACAGCTCTGCTGCCTGTTGGAGTAAGATTAGCCACTGGAATCACTCATCTACTGGTGTACATAAGGCTTGTAATGCCAGATAGCCACAGAATGGGACCCCGACTCAGTTTGTTTGGGGTGGTGTTTGCCAACTCCACCACTCAAACCGCATGCAGTACAAGTTGCTTATCATCAAACTCCCATCCCCTGGTGTGGTGCTAGACTGCAGACATTTACAGAGCATCAGCCTCTCCCTGCCACTGCTGGGAGCCTCCAGCCACCTGCATGAGGTTGGGGAGCTAAAGATGGCACAGAGCTGCAACACAGTCAGAAATGTCCTTCCTATCAAGAGCACAGCACCACGTGCACTCTTGGATGACAGCCCTCCCTGCAGCAGCAAAGTGCAGTAATTTGCCAGCACTGAGACACAGTGCATCTGCTGTGGGGCTCCAGGTAGAGGAAAACGGAGAGCATGCATGCTTCAACAGAAAAACAGGAGTGTGAGGGATCAGAGCCCAGGTTACTGTTCTTCCAACTAGCCCAAGGAAGGATTATGACAAATACATGGTGGCTTTTGCATGTGCTTTTGTAACATTAGCAGCCAGATTAGGTACATAGGGGTCCCTGGGGAGTTTATAATTTGGTTGCAGCAGTGAAAAAGCTCAAGCTGCTCCGTCTGCAGTGCTGTTGTGCCTCATGCTTGCTGGCTTCATCCAGAGTGTGTTTACATTGCCTGGCTTGAAATTCTAATTTGCTATATAAATGTGCTTTAAAAGACATGAGAAGAAGCTTCTGAGTTAAAATTCCAAAGGTGCCACCAAAAGCATTTCTCTGAGGTGAAAGCTTAGAGAGTGTTGAGCTTAGGCTTTTCCAAAGGGCCTAGAGAAACTCTTGGGAAAGGGAGATAACACCTTACTTTTGAGAACTGCAAATGTGGTAGCTTTGCCATGCAGCTGCCAGTGCTTCTTTGGGCTAATTCCTGGAAGACTGACTAAAATCCTTAAGTATTGCAGGGTCCTCTCTCGTGAAAGCACTTTAGGAAATTCCACTGGAATATGGCTGCTTGCGGTTTGTTCATTGAAAATTGCTGTGGCTACCCCCAACCCGTGTTAGCACACTCACCCCTTGAAGATGCTTTGGCTTTGCTCTCTCAAGGGGAGGGCACAAACACTTCAGTGCTGCAGCGCTGGGTGTTCATTCAGCTTTATGCAGGGTGAAAGGACCAGTGTTCACATCAGACCACAGTCAGAGCTTCGTGCCAGAGCTTAGTGAGGGCTCACACACCGCCTGTGCTAAATGGCTACCAGGATCACCATTTTCTGTGGCCCCAGTGATGGGTCTCACACCACAGAGGAGGTTGTTACTCTTCATCACTCTGCACCGATCTTCTCCAGAAGGAGGAGGAGACATCTGGTCCCCCAAATCCATGTGCAGTCTCAAGCATCCACACTCCAGCAGTCATCTTTCAGTTTGAGGACGATGATCAGTGGCAAAACGGTGATTAAAACTTACATATGTTTGATTCTGGATGGCTTCACTCAGGTTTAGGTGCTGCAAATTAGGCAGGTTGCCATTAGGTCCTCACTGTGCTTACATAAAATATGGAGTTGTAGGCAGGATGCTTTTCTTGGCAGCAGCAATGCCATGGACAGCAGCTTTAATAAAACTCCAGGAATTTTACAGTCTTTGGCCTCGCTGAGATTACAAGCAGTTGGCAAAATGGTGTGTGCTAGTTATATTCCCAGGCATCTGTAGGCAAGGGACATGGAGCATTCTGAGCACTGAAAAGAGATGATGGATTCTCTTTGTGACTATAGAAAGAGAAATTGCAGGGCTGAGGCTGCATGAATGCATCAAATTCAAGAAAATCACATTATCTTGCTTATATCATTCTTAACTTGACCTTCTTTTCCCTTATGCAATTTTGCTTACTTACAGATAGTTGTAATCTACCAAGTTACATACACTGTGACAGAAGCTATCATAAAAAGAGCAAATACTATTTCTGTATGAAAGCTTTAAAGTGTCTGCAGATTCCCAGATCCCATTTATTGCTGCAGAGCATGAGACCCCCTGAGGTAAGAAAGGCCAGAACAGCAGTCTTTTCCAGTGCCAGATTTAAGAAGAATGGGAAAAGTTATGAACTGAAGTAGCAGTTGCAGTTTGTGTGGCTGTTAGCAGGGTAGGTGGGCGATTAGCACTTTGCAAAGAGTTGCCTGTGTACATACAGAAAGTACACGTGCTTGTCCTAATCAAGGTCTTAAGGCACGTGTGGGATGCTATTTCGGGTTGTTTCTTTCATCTTGCCTCATTAATCCCTGTAAGCCTTCATAGTGAGGACAGAGTGGGGCTGAGAAGAGCTGCAAAGCCAAGGGATTGAAGCATACTGTGAGAAGGCCTAAGTTCATTGCTCTCTCAAAGCCCAGCCATCATCGATGCCCTGGAGATCTTTGCAATCTCATCCTTGTGGTTTTCCTTTCTTTTTTCCCCATGTGCCCAAGTGTGCTCTCCCCACCATGAAAAGCCAGTTTGCAGTGGTAGTTCTTTGATCAAAGCTACAGCTGCCAGCTACCTACCACTGCCTGAGCATTTCAGGTCACGTCACCCTTCAAGCTTCCGCTGCTGTTCCTACACACTCCTGGTCTCATTCCTTCCCATCGTTCTTAGCTGGCTGTGGAGAGCCCTCTTATCCCCTCTGGTACCCATCATTTCTATCACCCTGATCCAGCTGATTCTCCCCATACTGGTGAGAATCCCTGTTAAAGTGTTTCCTGGTCCTTCCTTCAGCTCTCAGCAATCCCATCCTGGCACTCTGCCATCTCTCTGTATGTGGTTCTGTATTTCATCCTTCACAGACATAATAGCTGAACCTGTAAGGATTTTTTTTTCTACCCACCGTTTCCAGCCCTCCTTGTCACCAAGAGAATCTGAGTGAAAGAATTGACACACATTTTTTTTATCCTCAAAAATGATAATTCCTTTCTGACTAGAAAGGACACAGACCTGGACGATCTATCCCAAGCTGTGCCTTGAAACCTAGAGACCCACCAACACATCACATTCAGATGGTTCCAGAAAGGCCAAAATTCTGAAGGTGCGAAAATATTCAGCTTTTTGCAGAAACTCAAGTCTTCCTCCTAGGAAAACTAGAAGCTTCCAGAATAAAACTGTAAACCACAGCCTGCCTTCTGCACCACCGCAGCAGAGCTGATGCTGCACAAAATAGAGCTGCGCTGCAAAGCAGAGCACTACACAGACATGTGCAGGTGACTCACGTGTTACAGCAATCACTTTTGTATTTATTCTTCTGACAGAAACTGCAGATACATCTGAAAATTACCCCCAGATGGGTTGTTCCCAGTTGGTTGCTGTGGGTGCCATGGGGACACGTTGCTGTTGTGGTGGTTTGGGCCTCATGCTGAGCACTTGGTGCCATACTCTCTTGCAGCTGCAGGGCCTGTTTCACAGCAGGCCCAAAAGCCACGGCTTTTGGGGTGCTGATCCTGGCTGTGTCTCTGCTTTGAAGGCAGCACAGTGCGCTGGGGTGCAGAACTCGCCTGACTGTGTGCAGGAAGCAGCAGTAGCTGGTAGTGAATGGGAAAGGAGATGTTCTTGGTGTGTGGTCCATGTCCTCCAAGAGCCTGAGCTCCTTTTTCCTGGGGTGAGCTTGGAGTGTAAACCAGCTGTATGTAGGTTTTGTGTTAACTGTCCATCACCTTTCCTGGTGGGGAAATGGGTCTTTGGCTGAGACAGATGCAGAGCAGGCATAGAGACCTGGGCAAGATGGTATTTGCTGTGACACTGGCAACAGAGGTGCCCTGTCCTGGGAGCACAGCCATGGATGTCCCTCTCAGCATCTTGTTAACAGATGCAGCTGTAGTGACAAAAGACAGTGGGGAACTTAGCATGAGTCCAAAATGTGCTTGGCTTGTTTGGCTTGGCAGGGAGGGGATTTGACTGCTGAGATGAGATGAGCAGAGATGAGAGCATGTCTTCAGTGAGAGGACAAAACCAGCCCCCAGAGAAAAACGGAGCAAAACCAGCCTGGCTGTGAATAAATTTAAGTCAGAAATGAAGTAAAACGGAGCAATGGCATCATGGAACAGCCATTCATCTTCAGTGGCAGGAGCAAAGAGCAAATGATTTTTAAGATGGAATAGGAAAACAGAGTGAAAGCCTGGAATGTCTCCTGGGAAGCAGCTGTAGCAGGGAGCAGCGTGCAGCAACCTGGGGCTTTTCTATCCTAGCCTGCTGTGCCATCCCTCAGATCCTCAGAGCATCCAGCTCTTCTGACCAGGGCCCTTACGCAGCATTTGCTAACTCCTTGGGTAAAGATTCTTCAATTCCCTTATCTTTCTGACAGGGAGAAGCTGTTTACTTGGTCCTCACTGATAAGATTTTAGCTGGTTTTCTCATTTATTTTCTTTTCAGCAAATGGAGACAGCACACTGAGAGGAGGTTTTTAATTGGCATTAACACTGTGCTGAGAAGTGTTCTCAGGGGTGTTAATGATACAGAGAGTACTGCGCAATTCAGAGAAGAAAAAAAGAATTATAATGAGCTAGAGAAAGAAATTTTGATCCACAATCCAATTTAAAGTGCACACAAATGTTCTGTGTTATGAAAAATGAAGAAGTATCAGTTTTAGCTAGGAAGCAGACAGTCCAGTGTAAATGGATCAATGACATCCTTCATTACTTCCTCAGAAACCTCAGTAATCTGAGTCTGTACTGATATCAATGTTTCTTCTCACATTCAGCAGCAAGAAAATTCCTGTTTTCCTTAATAAGAAAATTCCTAAAAAATGTGGGAGAGAAAATTGTGAGATTGGAAGAAGCAGCCCAGGTTCAAACCTACTCACCTAAACTTTCATAGTCTATTCTTCTTTAGCAGATGTTCTGTCCATAATACCAGTGTGGGTACTTCAGATCAGCCCCAGTCACAGCACGAGAGTTTGTGCCTGGTTGTTTCCTGCAGGCTCCAATAGACTCCAGATGTAGGTCGTGATGACCACCCTGTTTCTCCACTGCACATGAGCTAGAAACAGGCAGAACAGCCTGAGGTGTATAAGGTGGAAGGGACAGGAAAAGTGAAGAAAATAAAGGACATAAAAACAGCTAGTAATAAAAAGTTCTAGTGGCAAAAAAAAAGCTGAAGAAAAGCACTGTATTGATAATGATGCCAGTGAAGTGCTGGCAGTCAACACCTGAATTCTCCATTTGGCCCCAGTTGTGATATTAAGACAAAACTTTTGAAAAACAAGAATAAATGCAGTCAGTGCTGGTGCTGCAGAACCTTCAACAGGCTTGAAATTGCTGTCTGTTATGTAGACAGCTATATCAGGATGCAGGTGTCCTTTCAGGACACTATATTAGCCTAGTTTATTCTTCTCCTTGCATTTCTTTGTACTTACACAGGTCAGTTCCAATGAGAGGAGTGTCTCATCATACCACCCATTGTCTTTCCCTAATAATCTCAGCGGATCTCAGTTACCGATGAGTTGTTATTTTCTACTCCGTTTTGGAGGAAAGATTCCAAGAAAAATGTGGAAAGTGTTTTGTAGTTTTGTGAACCTGTTCTGCAGATCTTGGACATTTGTTGGATGGCTTAGCCAGCTTATAACAGGGTCTGTGATTTGAGCTCCTGTGAGCCCACTGGATTTTGCAATGTGAACATGTTTCTGTACAAAGTCACCCAAATATTGCCCCAGTAATTATCATAAGAAAGGTTACTCATAAGTGAGCACAGATCCCACATGGCTTGCCATAATCTGCTGTTATGCAAAGACGACAACCGTGTTTTCTAACTATCACCTCTGAAGCCTGGGTGTTGCACATCTGTTAAGCCCACTGATCTGTTTGCTTCACATTTTGCATGCCAAGGAATAAGGAAATGAGGAATGAAAGGCTGCATTGCAAAACTGAGGAGACATTCAAAAATCTGACCTGTTAGTGCTGTGGGCAGGACCTTAACCAAAGCTTCACAGAATCTTATGGACCAGGTCAGTGAAAAACTCCACTGCTACTGCAGAGAGCAAGAGAAAAAGGTTATGACTTTTGAGTACAAAATTAAAAATCTTGCAAACTCAGGGCCAGAGTAGACTGGAGTCAAAACGGGAGTCCTCTGGGTTCCCTTTAACAGTGTTCTTCCTTCACTTTTTGCTATCTTTCTTAGCAGGGATCCTTCCATCATATCTTTGAGTCCCATGCACAAGCAAAACTCACTACTAACCAGTGAGTCACTTGGCTACAGTATTTCCAGTGCAGAGAACTTGGGTGTAAAACAGAGTTTCTGTTCCAAACCTCTGCAACTTGAATATTTCAGGTAACATACACAAGGCACAGTGCATTGGAAGGAAACAACAACATTGGTTTATATTTCAGGCTTATTTAACTGATATTTGTAAGGTGCTTGAAGTTCTATTTAGATGAAGATATTCATGCACAGTAAAATGACAGGCATGTAAGTTTAAAAAATATAATACTGATAAACCCTTCCTGTGTTTTGAAACCGTGGGTGTTATAACTCCCCCAGGAAGCAGCACTTGTGACAAACAAAGTCAGTTTGCTGGAAAAAACTGGCACCAACTTCTCAAATGTCAAAAAATAGCAACAGCAATCTCTCTTTCCTCAGCCTGTGAAAGAAATACATTGATGAGTTTGGAGAATTTATTCATTGGCATGAGCATGAGTGGGTGTGTCAAGTAGAGAATTTAATGAGAGGGAGCTAATGAGGGGGAGTGAAGCAGGAAAGAAGTCTCTTGCCTTAATGAGTTCTGAAACTGGAGAAGTCTGCAAATGTCCTTGCATCTCCTGGGCTTCAGAGCCTAGGTCCACTGCTGTGGGAGTGCTGCTTTCCATTGCCAGATCCTTTGCCTGCTACTTCACGATTTCATTGTTTCCATAGAAAACGGGAATGGGAGGGAGGGCCTCTGGTACTGCTGAAATTGTCACCCAGTCCTATAGCAGCACCACTTCTGACTCATCTGGGCTGAGAGTTAGTCAAGAGCTTGTCATCTGTGTAAACACAACATGTGAACAGTGTTGATCTAGGCACAGAAAGGCCCTGAAGTGAGGGCAACCAGCACAGATAAACTTGGTTTAACCAGTAGCCTAAAAACTGTCAATCAGGAGTATTGAACTGTCTTCTTATCCACATATCCTATCATATATATCATATATATATCCATATATATGAGTAAGTGGGTTTGTTTCAGAAAAGCTTTGCCTGCTGCAATGTAGCTAAGTTCCTAAAGAACAGACCTATGAAATACTGAGTGAAGTAACCACAGCAAAACACTGTTAAATGCAAATTTTTCAGGTACCCATGTGTACACTCTTAATGGAACTGATCCAGAAGGAGATCCCGTGACGTACAGCCTGGCCTATGAAGCTGGATCAAGACGCTACTTTTCTGTTGACAAGAACCTTGGAAATGTTACACTGATTGAGGAGCTTGACAGAGAGGTAGAGTGAAATGGCACCACTCCCTGTGTTCATGGAATGTCCTTCGTCTGCAGCAAATGTCCTTGATCTGTAGCTTTGAGGGACACCACCAACTTATTTTTCTCAAAACATGTAATATGCTTGGTAGTTCTGAAACATTATGCTTCACTCATTAAAGTTTTTTTTCAGTTGGTTTGTGCCACTGACACTGCTATCAAAATTTTCAGCAGCTGTCTGTCCAGCTTTTTCTAAAAGGGAAGTTTACTGTTTATTCCTATCTTCTCCCAGCTGCCCTCCATCAAGCACTTAAGGGTGGTTAGAGTCCTCTCATCCTCAGACAGGGCCTCTCCCATCACTAGTGCTCTGCGATACTTCTCTAGTTATACCATAGCCCTTCAGCCCATGTAACCATGTAGGGTAAAGATGTTCCCAGCAACAGTGGACTAAAGGCAGCCTTATTCTGGGAACACAGACGGTGAACCCTTCACTTTTCCTTCACAAGGAAGGGTACACAGTTCTTATTATACCCTTCAAAATACTGTGTACTGAAACAAAATAATATTGAGCCAGTTGTACCTTTTTATGGAGTATTTCTTGAAAAAGATGACCGATTTTCCCTAGCACTTTATAGGACAACAGGGATTCCCAGACCAACCAATTCCTGACAGTAGCCACAGAAAGTCCAAGGAGCCTCACAGCTGAAGCCTTTGAGGGGTCTTCCTAGCCTCTGCTGTGATTGCTTTGTGATATTAATTGTTACTTTCACCTGCCTGCTGAGAAACCCTTAAATCTGCAGTCCCTTTTTCAATCATGGCAAACACCATCTCTCTAACAAAGGAATTTTCTTGGATTACAGAAGGAAGATGAGATTGAAGTTATTGTCAGTATTTCAGATGGCCTGAGTACAGTGAGTATTTAATTATGCTGTAGCTTGTAAAACTGTCTCCATATGCCTCCTCCTATTAAATTGCCTTACAGGGACTATCTCATTTTATCAGAAAACATAATCTCATTAGAGTCTTACCTTCTCTTTCAAGAGCCACTGAACTCCCAATAACTCAAGTCTCACTCCAGCTTCTTGCTCGGATATTTGAGGATAATTACAATGTAGTGTGAGCTGAAAGACTGACTTACTTAGTGTCCTGCAGAATTACAGCAGTTTCCTCTGAAGTTTCACTTTCAGATCAGCAGTATTCGTACCTAAGAAAGATCTTGCAGGCTCTTTGGAGAAATGCATGTCATTATAGGAACTAGCATTGGACACCCAAGAACTGACTGTCCCTTCATCTCCTCAATGTTTCTCTAGCATGACATGAAGAAGATTTGCTTAGACAAAGGTGTGAGGGGGGGTTTCTTGTCTGCTGCCGAATAAAGCTTCGATCACATCTAATCTGAGGATTTATCTGAGGCATTGCACAAACATCCAATCCTATTTCTACTTGGCATTTTCAGTTTATGGACAGATGCTGTTACAGCCAGGATATTAGACCTGATCTTCATCACTAGATGTGCCACAAAAGTAGGACGCTTTTACTATAGATAAGACTGGGTAACTCTAGAGCCCTTCCTCATCTCACACAAAGTAACTGAGATTACTGCAACAAATTTTTGGAATGTGCTGGTGTCCTACAGCCACAACTGCCCTGGCAACCTCTGTAATTAGGAAATAGTGGGATCAAATAGTGGGAAACTAAATGGGATTTCCTGTATTTTTTTTTTTTGTGTACTCAGTTTTGGTAGTGTAGTGCAAAGATATTCTATTACAACATAATTTTTCATTGATTTTGACTTAGTAGGCATATGAACAGGTACATGTTGAAAATCAGCTTGAGTCCTAATATGCTCTTCATATTCTACTCCAGGTATCTGAAAAAGTCAGGATCCTTGTAATGGATGCTAATGATGAGAGCCCAGAGTTCATCAATGCACCTTACATAGTCCAGGTCCCAGAGGTTGGTGAAGTTACTTTGCATAATGGAAGCATATATCAATATGATGTAAAGAGGAGTTAGTATTTTTTCAGTAAAATAACAAGGTGTGCAGGACTAACTTGCATTCTTTTGGTATAGGGTCTGGGTAGATATTTAATATTCACTTCAAATTTAGGGAATAAGTCTGTATGTACTTAAAAGTGTGCTATTCTGTGGGTAAGCTCTGAGTTGCTGGGAGCTTTTAGACGACTTCAGAGGGAATAAGATGTGTCCTGTCTTAGCTGAAATTTTTTGTCATTTTTATTCCAAAAAGTGTTTCTTCCTTCTTGTTCTTCTCCAGAATCCTCCATTTTTAATCTCTTGCCTCTTTTCCTTCTGCTTTTTTGTTCCCTCAATGCATTTATACTTTTCCTACCCATCACTCTCTTTTTCTGCTTCCTTGCATGTTCATTTTTTGCTTCTTCTAACTTACCTTGTTTTCCACTCTTGTGTAACTCTGATAACTCTTTCTGGTCACAGAACACTCCCTCTGGCAGCAGTATTTTAAAGACTGAGGCAGTGGACAAAGACACAGGCTCTGGAGGAAGTATCACCTACTTCTTGCAGGTAAGGTATTACCTGTACCTTCAAAAATCATCTCTCATATACTGAGATCTCAGAAATCACGTTAAAAAAAAAAAAAGATTTTGAGGATTGAGACTGCTACTAGTCCATATAGGGCCAGTTTCATACTTTTAACGTTTCATTTGTATATTGCAAAATTCACCAAAACACCACTCTATTGACAATAATCTATGCATGCAAACTTCCTGCTTTTGTTTAGGCCAGTAGAAGTTTGAAATTCTAAGGGACAACACCTTTTTTCTTTTTCCCTTTGCCCTCATCCTTTTTTCTCTTAAGCCTCCCTACCTCTTTCCATGCAATGAGCTGTGTTAACCAAAGTTTAAGATTGCACAATGAAATACAAAAAGATTAAAAAAATCTACATTGCAGGTAACTAATTTATTCTGAATAATGATAGACTTGTGGTTGGTTCATGAATTGTTCATAAACACACAGAGGTGAAATTCATCAGATACATTATTCACCCAAGCCATATCATTATTCTAGTCTTTTCCCTTAGCAGATGAAATTAAAGATGAGTCCCTTTGGCAATGTTATTTCCATACCTGTAATCTCTCTCTGTTTCTTCATTTGTTTTCTTCTAGAACATCCATGCTAATAAGTTTACAGTAGACCATCACAGTGGTGTCCTGCGCATCAAAACAGGGGTCACCCTGGACTATGAGAAATCACGAACACATTTTATTGTCGTCGTAGCCAAGGTATAAAGCTTTTATCAAACTAGAGGAGGTAGGGGGCTGTATCTGAGTAGGAGTGATTAGTTCAAATACAAGTGTGACTTAAAGGGTTGCTGAAACATGAAGCATAATACTGAGGCAGCAGGGTCGCTCCCTCTGTAACATCTGGAGGTGCGCGGGGTAACAGGGAAAAGCGAGGAGGGAAAGATGACTGGCGTGTGCTGCTGAACAACATTTGGAGGCATTTGGCACAGGGTTTCCTACATTTCACTCATGCCCCAGTGCCAGGATAGTGCGCCCCACTGCAGAAAGTCACCTGTGCATTTCGAGATTCACCTAGAAATGAAGGGTTGGTGTATGCAGTCCTAACTCCAAAAGGCATCAGCATTTGGTCAAATGGAGGAGTTCAGGGCTCTGCTATGAGGCCCAAGGCATGGACTTACTTCAACAAGTGCAAACCCCTGGCAGGCAGGTTGTGCAGGTCACAGTCGTTAGCCACAGTAAGATACAGGACACAGCTAGACCCAGTGCAGCACAAGTCACTGACTTCTCTTCTGGAAACATGTGTGGATGTTTTTTAATTTTACTTCTCTGCTGCCTTATGGCAGGAGCTTATTCAAATCCTGCAAATATTGCTGCACTTCCCTTCTTGCCACTGTCATTCTCAGCAGTGCTGCGCCTGTGGCTCAGCTGTGGATTCATAACAGGCATTAAAAGTTTATGGATTCTGTGAGGACCTGTCACACAGACAGACTTGCAGGGGTGAAAAAAGGGATGATTTTGCTTTTACTTATGAGGACTTTGAGTTTCTTATATTTTATGAAAAATGTACAGATCTTTCTATGTATTTATATAGACAGGGTTCTTTTGGGGAGAAGTAAAAAGATTTGGCTTAAATACTGCCTTTGGGGCAGGAAGGAAGGGAAAAAATAGTACATATTTTAAAAGAAATGGAAATTTTAGAAGTGGTACAGCAGACATGCTGAACAAGTCACACTTTTATACAGCAGCATGACTACTGACCTCCAGTTGGTGCTCTGAGACTGAGGGTGTTAAAAGCTTCTGAAATTGCAACTCATCTTTCTAATTGGCTCTGTGTACCAGTAGCACAGCGTTGATTGTAGTCAAGCCCCCAGAGACTGTTTATACACTTTGGCTATCTAACAGTTCTTGGCTGCACAGCTCCTCCATGCTTTCACTTTATCACGTAAGAGGCCCTAGGAGACTTTGATCATGTGCACTCTTTAATTTCCCTCTAGAAATGCATTAGCTTGCTTCTGTGCATTGTCTTGTGTTTATGACAAGGCCATATGTAGGATGAAAAGCTGTAGACCTTAGCCACTAACTTTTTATATCAGTTTCTAACATTCTTTTTTCTCTGAAACAAAAAAAAAACGACCCTTGATTTTCCTGTCCCCTGTGTTGTTGATAAAAGGTCATGTATGACTGCATATATTGGCACAACGATTTTTAATATAAGAAATTACTTCTGAGACGCTGCAGGCTGTCTTCCTCATCAGAGAGGGAGCAGAAAAATGGAAAAGGGAAGGGAATAGAGCAGCAGAGATTAATCTGTGTATTGAGAGAGCAAAGGGATTCCTGGCACTGAGCTTCTGAAGGCTCATGAGGTGCATGCAGCTGATTTGCAGACATGTTTCAGCAGAGGGATCTGATGCTGACTTCTCTTCTAGGATGGTGGTGGGAAACTCCGGGGAGACAACAAAATCTTTTCAGCCACAACAACAGTTACTGTCAATGTGGAGGATGTTCAGGATACTCCTCCCATGTTCATTGGGACTCCCTACTATGGATACGTTTATGAGGATACACTCGCAGTAAGTGCTGGTGTTTGCCTGTAAGAGAACAAATGCAATCTGTCACATCTCAGTGATAATGGCCCTATGGTTTCTAGCACAGGCTTTCTTGGAAACTGGGACCTAAACTCTGGCTTGACTCCTAGGTGCAATGAGGTGACCAAATCTCGGACTTGTTCTTATTTATATTCATTGCAAATTTGCCATGAAAGGCTTTCTGTTGCTGTTATGAAAATAAAAAAGAATTCTGCCCATTTATGTTGGTCTAAGCCCAGACAGTGACTAAGAGCTCTTCCATAGCTGAGACCTTGGCTGAAGGCTTAAATGGATTGCCAGCTACCTCACCCAAACACATCATGCTAGCAGCTTTTGTGTGTTTGTGTGCTGTGTGGTTTCACAGTGCTTTGATTTAATAGTTGATCAGTCCAGTACCAATAGCTGTTTGTGCAAGGTGTGGTGAGAATTTGTGCCCAAATGCTCTAGACTCTTTCTGCTGTCCCATGGACATAACGTGGGGAGAAGCAATCCTGACACCCCCAAAATGCAGGATGCTTTCTACTCAGTGATGGCTAGACAGGCAGAATGGATGAGGAAGTCCTTCCAGGCCTAAAACCCAGCAGATGATCAAGCAAGCAGGGACATACTTAGGAGAACTACTCACAAGCAGGGATGCTGCATCTGTTGACATGTGTCTGCTGATTAAGATATCACTTTGTATCTGTCACGGACACAGAATCCAAGGAGTACATTGAGATCCTGGTTGTGACACCATGTCAGAAATGCCTAACAGCAGATTTACTTAAAAAAATATCATAGCAAATAATTTATTATATCCACCATGATGCTTTCAGCCACATATTCTCGAAGCTGCAAACTAATGTGTTTTGTTTATATCTAAGCAATGGCATGATACTGCGTATGGATCAGCTTTTACCCGATAGAGAAGATTTAGTTAAAATTTTCTTCATACATGGGATGAGAAATGGTATCTACTAATGAAATTACCCAACACTAGACTATTGCTCTCTTTGGCAGTGTGATTGCATATTGTTCAACTGATCTCCCTTTGAGTTAAGGGAAAGATGGTGTCTTTATTTTCTGCCCAGAACTCCGATGTACACTGCAGCCCTCGTATGACTGTATATTGCAGTTCAGTGCTTAGGCTGTTACATTTCAGCAGGGCAGAGAAGTAATGCTTGTGTATTTTGCAGATGTTTGTAATGAATGATATTATGTATATTGATTTATTCTGCATAGTTAGGTATAGATCCTGAAATAACTATCAGGTGCATACAGGAGTTAGTGTTTACTATGGAAATGGGAGTCAATAAATGTTAATTACATCCAGCTTGAGCTCATAACTTACACCATTATGATATTATAATGACGGAAGCACGAATCAGTCGTTCCAAGTGTGGGTTTTGCTATTAGAATGTAGTCCACAGAGAGAGTGGCACTAGCTGATTTTAGCATTTTTTGTATGTTTGGTGTTAATTTTGTAAACTTGCTTTGTTTCTCCTTGGTGGAGTTGTCAGGATTTATAAGTACTCTGTCACTTTCAAAGGGACTGCACTGCATTTTGCTCAGTGGGCAGATTTTATTGCAGCTTCCAGCATAAATGATAAATACAGTTCTGTATTTCCAGTTGCTCTAACAGAGACTCGCTCTTGTTTGAAAAATTCACACAAGAGCTGCCATGAAAATGTTGCCATTTGTGATTAACTGACAGTTACTTTGGTGTTCCCTGGTTTTACAGCCCCAAAAAGTAGAACTTCAGTTGAGAGGCCTACATTACACAGCTCATTGCCACTTGCATTAGCATTTTAATGCTGACAATCATCACTCTGAACTGATAGGAGTAGTCTCATGAGCAAATGGTCTCCAGTACGCAAGTACCTATGGCCCATGGCCATATTACTTGCACAGAAAGAAAGGCAGTGAAGGCTTAAGGACAGTTAAATCATAATTTTCATCACAATTTTATGCCCTAAATGTTCCGTAGGCCAAGTTGCTTAGTGATCTCTGTTTGCTTTTGCAGACCTTAATTAGTTCAGATGACCCCTCAATAGCTGCCTGTGTCTCAGCATACTGTGCAGGCATGGGTCACACAGCTACACCAGGAGCCTACAACAGCAGCTTCCAGAGGGCATCTTGGTAGTGACCCAAACTAAACCTTGAATCTCAGACTGGTTACGCTAAAGCCTCTGTCCAAATCTGTGGCTCAAAGTATGTGTCCCTGGCCATGGCTTCCAGCTGCTCCTGTGCCTAGCCAACTCCTGGGGCTGAGGCACTGTGGCCACACAGAGTATGCAGTTTTTTCACACCCATGCCATTGGCACTGCACAGCAGTGAGCTCTGAGCAGCCCATGGGGAGCAGTGCATTGCTCCTGCTGGTCCTCTGGTCCTCACCCAAAGCTGAGTTAGAAAAAAGGACAAGAGGGCTGGGTACTGGGCAAACTGGCACTGGTCTCTTGGAAGGCATATCGGCATGCCCGGAGGCTGCCCAGGCCCTCCTGGGGTTGCTCTGCCACCCCTGTAGGCAGTGGCATGGTGCTGGCAGCTGGCTGACAAGGGCAGGTTGCACAGCAGGTCCATAGCAGCAAGCAGGGGCATCCTCACTTTGTCTGGAGGTACAGTGCATGGGTGACATCACTAGAAACAACTAAAACTATTGATATAGGAACAACAGAGTTAGTCCAAGAAGTAGTATTCAGCTCCTGGCCTGCAAAGCCAAGCACTGATTTTTTTGGGTGGTAGTCTATTGTCTTTGCTGTGCTCCCCATACAGCACAAGCAAAAGTACCCAGTCTGCCCCCTACACCTCATTGCAGAAAGACTTACAGAAGTGTTCAATTTATTATTTGCAGTTGCAATTTCACTGCTCTTTAATCTCATCACACAGACTGTGATTTCCCATTACTTCCCAGGGCTCTGAAGTCCTTACTGTTGTTGCTCTTGATGGAGACAGAGGAAAACCTAACAGTATTCATTACAGCATTGTGAATGGTGAGTAGACTTGTCTTTTATGAAATCTGAAGGGCAGTCAAAACCAGATCTGACATTAAATTAGAATGGGATATGCTAGAGTTTAATAAAGCTGAGGCAGACTCTCATGAAATAATGTCAGGTACCTCAGAGAGCTCCTTCTACCACAGAACAGCCAACATACAATCCGCTAAATTTTAGTTTTCCACTCCACAGAACTACAGTTGGAGTTGGTAATTCTGGTGATTTGTTAGTCATCGGTAGCCTGCTTGTAATTTCAGAAAGCATAAAGGGAGATGAATTCATTGCTGCTGAGCATCTATAATCTGGGAGGCAAGAGAATGCATTGGGTGATGCAGACTTGGTATCTAGAGGGATATTTTTATTAATATTGTGATTAAAGTAGTTAAATGGTAAAACCTATGAATTCTTGGAAGAAATTATAAGTGAAGAGATACTGTCTGTACACTGCATTGGAAGAAAGTAGATGTTATCTGAAGATTAATGCTGTTCAGTAACTATTCTAAGGGTGTCTATCACACATCTTTTAATAGCATAAATGTGAGACTCAGCTGAATTGATAATGACTTAGCTGAATTGATGATTTATTAGCTAGTGAAGTCAACAACTTAGCTCAACTGAACTCCAGGATACAACTTCTTTATTTTTGTTTTGTTCCCTCTGCTTCCAAAATAAGACTTCCATGGCAACGGGCATCCCAACTCCCAGGTGTGAGAGATCCCAAAATGTCATAAGAAAAATCTGAGGTTTAGCTTCAGAGCTACGCAGCAAGTTCTTCACTGTCTTACATGATCTAAAAATCAAGGTCTAGAGAGAATAGAGAGGGTTGCAACTGAGGTTTTGCCTTGATGCAGGATGGGATCCCTGCTGATGTTCCTTCTCCTCAATGCAAGAGAGTGAATAAAAGAGTATAGGTAAAAGGAAGGTAGAAACATTGAGGAAAAAAAAGATTGAAAATGAGGAAAGATAAAATGAAAGGTGGAGAATGAGGAGTAAAAACAAATAACTGGGATGAAAATATGGTAGACAAGGAAAAAATTGAGTGAGGAGAATAAGCAAAGGCAGAAGAACCAGCAAAAATGTTGAAGGGAAATGGGATTTATGAGGAAAGGTATTAGATTATCAAGGAAAATGGAGAAGGACCAAAAACGTGGTATGGGATAAAAAAGGTAAATGATTAGGAAAGAGTGGAAAATGAAGATGGAGGCAGATGACAGATAAGTAGCATAAAATATAATGAAGAGCAGTCTTTCCTCATGCACATTAACAGGATTTTGTTAGCATGAAATGGAAGAGAGGGGAAGAGAATATGCTTTTACTGTGTAGAAAGCTGAAGAAATAAAGAACAAAATATGAGAACAACCAATCTGCCCCTGCTCTTCAGATGCTAGCATTATGTGTGACAAACCATTATCCTAATACCTGCAGGCTGGGTTATCAAAGGACAAGAAAATACTAACAGCAGATAGGAAATTTATTCTTTATAAGCATTTTTTATCTGGGGAGTGTGGGATAATTTTAGAAAATACTCCAATCCTCTGAACATGCTGTATGAAAGAACACAGATAATGCTACACACTTAGAGTTACCAATTTCCTTGTGATAACTAGGCAATGTATGGTGGTTTGAAACCACTATTGACTTAAGCTTCTTCTCAATTAGCCCGTACTTTCTAGGCCAATGTATCTTAATAATTGACCATTGTATAAGTCAGTATCTGTTCAATGTTGTATCTATTGTACTTTAATGAAGTTGCAGTTATTGCAGGTATTAGCAAAATGGTATACTATCAGATGGTTTAAAAATCAGCACTGGAATTGAGTTAGAGGGAAAGAAAAATTACTGGGCTTTCAGGTCATCATCCTTTATGTCTGAAGGCTTGATCTCCTTAATCATACAGGATTTTCTCTCTTACTTCCAGTGGTAGGCTCTTCTACGAAGTGTATGCTGCAACCAATACTATATGTGAGCCAGCATGTACTGGTGTCCATGGCCCCTCAGCAGAGCAGGGCAGAGCCCCCTGAGCTGCTGGCTGGTCCTCTCCCTGGGCATGATGGAGAGATGGATGCAGACATTCTGATGAGACATGCTGCCTCTCCACAATCTAACATTTGCTTCAGCACAAATTCACCAGGTCTGAAGGGACTGCAGCCATGTAACTGGTCTTCTCTTCAGATCAGTGGAAGTTAGGTCAGTGGTAGCAATGTCAGCCAGCAGCCCTGTCGTGTCTGTGTTGTACTTTGCCTCATTGCAAAACCACTGGGGTTTGCCCCATATTCTCAAAAATCCCTTTTTGTTTAGGACAGCCTTGCAAGAAGCTGAGAGCTTTTTTAACAACTGAATATCTGTTGTGGTTTAAACCCAGTCAGGTAATTCGTTCGCTCACTTCCCCCCCCCTTTCTTGCCCTCCCCCTGCTCTCGGAGGGATGGAGAGGAGAATCAAAAGAATGCAACTCCCATGGGTTGAGATAAGAACAGTTTAGTAACTAAGGTATAACACAGATCACTACTGCTACCACCAATAATAACAATGATAAAGGAAATAACAAGGGAAGAGAATACATCATCTCACCACCAACCAACCGATAACTTGCCCCCCTCAGCCCGACCAAGCACCGACCAATACCTCCTCCAACCCTGCAGTCTCCCAGCTCTTCCGGCTAACTCCCAGTTACATCCTGGACATGACGTGCTGTGGTATGGAATACCTCTTTGGTCAGTTTGGGTCAGGTGTCCTGTCTCTGCTTCCTCCTGGCTCCCCCTCCTCCCTGGCAGAGCATGAGGCTCACAAAGTCCTTGGCCAAACCAAAACATCCTTGTTATCAGCTCTGTTCCCAGGCCGAAAGTCAAAACACAGCACTGCACCAGCTACCAAGACGGAGAAACATGACTGCTACTGCTGAACCCAGGACAATATCTAAAGGCAGAAGATGCTTCTCCAGAAATGCTGTCTGCAGAAAGAGTGACTATGTCTCTTTCAGACAGATCATCAGACTTTACACCTTAGCTAATATTGAGAAAAATGTTTTTGTTTCTCAGAGACTTAATTATCCATTTGCTAAATACAATGAGGAATGTCTATTTTTGTCTAAACCAGCATATAAAGAAGACAGCATAATAGAAATGAATACCAAATTTGCATGTCTGGAGGCTGAGGCTTGCAGGGAACCTGACCAGGATGGGAAAGAGAGAGGTGAGGGCAGCTTCCCACAGGGCCAGAGATCCACTGAGCCATTCCTAGGGAAGGAAACCCTTTTTGGCCCTTACTTGTATTTTCATCTCACTGTGACTGGGCATAGAAGTGCTTCATTTCTGAAAAGCGGCTTCAAATCTACTAATACAGGTAGATACAGATATTGACAAAGATACGGTGAATTAAATGTATGGTTGGTTGCTAAAGCTTGCTAATGCTTGCTCTTTAAAAGGAAGTGTCACACGTAACTAGAGCATCTTGGTTTTATTGCAGGAAGTGAAGGTTCTTTTGAAATCGACAACACAACTGGAGCCATTTCTGTTGTAAAAAGCCCAAATCAGCTCAAGAAAGAATTGTATGAACTAAAAGTTCAGGTATGTTCTGTAGCCACTTGAAGTCTGTTGGTCTTCAATGCCATGAGTAGGCATGATTTAGCTGAGTTTACCTGTTTTAGAAACTACCTCCCATATTCGAGAAGAGTGCTGGATAGTATAAATCCAAGCAAACTGGTTTTGTTCCTTGGAATATTTCATGTCTCAAATGACTTCTTTCAAATGAAGTCATCTTGTCCTAATTTCATCTCTGAGTCTACAGAAATAACAACCTTTACAGGAACTGATCCTTCTGTTCAGAAAAATGCCAACTAGGTTTGCCTGTCTGTCCAAAATATATCCAGTTTAAGTTAATCTCACCTAGACAGCAAAACAGAATTGGAAATGACAGACTAAATCTCAAAAAAAAAGTGTGTAATTTTTCTTACTCAAATATTTGCCTGAATACCTCAAGTACAGTTTTCCTCGCAGAGTTTTCAAGGCTGTAGTCCCTGCAGCAATGTGAAAATCGGCTACCTGTGGTACCACAGCAAATGTAAAGGTTGTCTTCCTTTTCTATTTTGTCAACACTTTAGGCAAACAGTTACTTTGTCTCTATTAGATTACCTATGTTATCTTTAGAGAACTGTTTTCAACTAGGTGAGTTACTAAGCTCACAAAATGAGGAAGAGAATTTTTTCACTGAGGCTTTATTGGGACTAGTTCATTACTATGATCTTGCTGTAATTATCATAAATTTCAGCATGAACTGAACTGAGATTTCTAGAGAAATATACAGCTGTGAATCTTCATACAAATTAGAGTGTTAAGGTGGTTTGTACATGCAGATAATACCTGAACATGAAAGTGATGAAAGAGAGTACACCACCATTATTCTCTCTCCTGCCTGCTGCAGGCATCAGAAGTCGGTCAGGAAGGTGACATCTCAGCATACACTTTTGCCATGGTGACTATTCGGGTGGTCGACCTCAACAACCATCCACCAACGTTCTACGGAGAAAATGGTCCTCAGAACAAATTTGAACTGACCATGTATGAGCATCCCCCAGAGGGTGAAATCTTGAGGGGATTGAAGATTACAGTGAATGATTCAGATCAGGTAAATGGAAATTATGTGGACTTCTAGTATTCTTGCCCTATTTCCTGAAAGACTAGAAAGAGCTGTCAGATGGGGAAATGTCCTTTTCGGAACTCAACTATTTCACCTGCATTCCCCAAAGCCTAGGACAAACAAAGTAGTTGTAGGGTCCATTACCACAGCGAATTTGGACCCAGAAGTATACTTAATCTGTCATATTACTCTTATGTTGAGAAGGGTGGTGCTAAACATGCAGTCCATTTCTTGCAGCAGCTGAAGTTGAGCAGTGTTTATGAACTTTCCCTAACTTCTAGTTGCATTCAGTTGTTATCACTGAAATGTCTGAGAATGTAATCCAATCGGCAAGTTACTTAGAGTTTCCAATCATTTTAGTAATTGCACCTCAAGTACAATTTCTGCCTGTATCTTCTAAGCACCTGATGGAAACAATATAGACCATACTCTTACACTCATCTTATTAGAATATGTTATCCTTTGACTTTTACATTACAGCCAGAGTCTGCAGTGCATGCATTGATAAATCATTCCCAATGGAGTGATATTTATAGGTAATCTTATAAATTATGCCAATTGACAAAGACTATATCTAACCTGATAAAGGAAAGAAGACTCCGTCCATCTCAGCCTGGTATTTAACTGACCTGTGATGCCCATAGATACTATGGTGATGGTTGCTATAGGGATTCCTAAGCTAAATACTGTATGAATGGTGTCCATCTGAGTTAGCCAGAGGTTAGGTAATGACAAGAGCAGAGCTTATTGCATCTGAGAAATGTATTACTAGTGGAAAGAGTGCTCTTATATAACCGTGCTCAGTATCGTACTGTTTTGACTGTATTGTACTCTATCAAACTCACCAGCTTCTTCCCCCTCCCTGCTGCTGCTCTGCAGCAAGCAGACAAATGACTGTTTTCAAAGCAGTTCTGTGTCTATCTTGCTATTGTCGCAGGGGATGTTGCTGCAGAAGGAAAGAAACAAAACCCATCTTTTCTATTTAGAGACAACATAGATATGTATCATATGTAGGCTGAAAAAAAAAAAACATTTAGGCTGCAAGTTAGACTACAAAATAAGCAGAAAGCATCGCTAGATACACTGTATAGATTTCTCAAGAAGCTTCCTAATAGTGTATAAAACATCACTGTAGGTTGGGTTGGTTTTCTTTTAAGGCATAGAATGCAAATTTTTCATTTCTGCACAGCTGAGCTATATAGAGAAGAAGGTTAAACATAAGTCTGCTTCTGTTACAGCCGTTAGTGACTTTCTTTTGGGAGAGTGGCTGAAACAGGTGAGGAGGAGGAAGCTGTGGGCGAGGTCTGCTTTAGGCCTACAGTTTGATGAAAATTCTGTCTTTACTTATACAGAATTTTCTTTCTCAGCCCTCTTTACCCAACAGACACAGCTTAGGGGCTCTGTGCTATTGTTCCTTCAGTCATTCCTGTGTCCCATGACTGGCTGCTTGGGGACATGCAGCAACATGGTCTGCTTTGAGAAGATCTGGGTTCAGGGGACTTCACTGTCAGGAATCACTCGGCTGCTGGAGGGAGGCTGTTCTCTTCCTCCCTGCCCCATGCCACTGTCCCTCCAGTCACATACACTCTGAAGGGCAGAGGACTTTGTATTGTCAGACAGAACACTTTCCCTATCAGCACTATTTTCCACAGTCCATCAGCTCTGGCTTTCTGGTTCTTTGCTTTACTACCCAGCAAAAGAAAACCTGTTGTCATTGTAGCTGTGGGGGTTTATATGACCAAGCAACGCAGACCACTGAGTTTGGATCCAAGGTCATTCTGTTTCCCTTGGGTGACTACTGCTCCATACTTCTCCTCTTGACATGAGCTAGGGTTGCAGCAAAAACTGTTCATAACAAGCCCTCCAGAGATACAGCTGAAAATAGAGTTTCCTGTTTAAAAGTTATTATTAGAAATTCTTCTTCTCAAGATTCGTGCTAGGGAGAGAGCATGGTACCAGTCAGGTGATGAATCTGATTGGCTTGTCACAGTGTAAAGATGACATCATTTGAGAAATTGATGTACACAGAGGGTTGGTAAAGTAGATTCAGCTTATTTTCCCACCTTCCCTGTAAGACAGAAATATAAGAATCACCATTGCATCTTTTCTCTTCCATGCTCCAGTTTGATTTAAGATAATTGGTCTGGCCAACTGGCTCTGGCTCACTCTTCCCAACTCACACACAACTGGGGGTAACCTTTTAGATACTGCTGCTTTCCATGTCCTCTCTGGCTAGAAAGTTTATCTGTATAATGGGATTTGGATTCTCGCTTCACCTGGATCTGTCAAATGCATGTCAGATTTTATTCTGCACAAGTGGAGCCCCTATGTCCAAGTGTATCAACTTCCAAAAGGTCTAATGGCTGTAATTCTGGGCTAGCTTAACCCAGTCAATGCAAACCATAGAATGCCACTTCTGTTTGGAAATCGCACATCTTTGTGGTTGTTCATCATCATCGCAGGCTGTGAGCTCTTAGCACACAGGTTGAGTGTTTGAGGTGTTTGTTGTCCTGACAGGCAATCCAGTTGCCTTTCCTTGACAGGAACCAGGAGAAGGCAAGACTTGCCTGCCAATGTGCACATGATGTCAACTCTGTCGCTTGCACTAGCTCACAGTGTGAGGCACAAAACCCCAGGCTGCTTGCCACAAGATCCCTCTCTTAGCCAGTCCTGCTGCAGGGTTTTTCCATTCTGACTGAAAGAATAACCACACTTGTCAATCTATTTTAAGAAAAGCTGTGTCCATTTTGTGACAAGGGCCAGAGGGATTATATAACTAAGCTTCTTAGCAGTCTCTTGCCCAGGGGATGGAGAGCAGAGGGTTCTAAGCAGTAAGACTCATTCTGATATTATACAGTGTGAAGAAACAGAGCCAGTCTAGGCTGTAAGAAATGAATCATTCACTGAAAACAATGCTGTATCTGCTTTTATTCACAGGGAGCCAATGCTAAATTCAACCTCCGTCTTGTTGGACCTGGTGGCATCTTCCGAGTGGTTCCTCAAACAGTCCTGAATGAGGCTCAGGTTACAATAATAGTGGAAAATTCTGCTGCTATTGACTATGAGAAATTCAAGGTGTTAACCTTCAAGGTACTTCCACTTTCAAGGTCCTCTCATCATGTGTATATCATATGTATATGATGGCTTATGTATCTGATGGTATTTAGCTTCTTAACCCACCCAGAGCTGTCTGATGCATTGTCAGTGACATTATATTCTCTGTAAGGGAAACTCATTTTGGCCTCTGGTTCATCAACTTCCAAAGGTTTAATGGATTCATATGTGAACTAATTTAGTCTAGTCAGTGAAAACTGTTGAGTATTATCTCTCTGTGGAGACTGCACATGTTAGTGGTTCTGAGTAATTCTAGACTGAACTCTAAGGGTGTTATTTCTGCTCTTAAAACGATGAATGCACAGGATGAAATCCTATTTTTTGGGGGCCAGAACTTTACCTGCTTGGTCCTAAGTAATTTGGTTCATGATCATGCTTTTAAATATTGGCAGGCTGAAGATCCCAGCTGACTGAAAGACAATTACCAAAAATTGCTGACTTTGTCAGAGTGTATCTGTCTATATGGCATTTTGCACTCTGACCTGAATCTACCTCACCCATGCTCTAACCTAGCCATAGAAGAACCAGCTTTGATCCTAAAGGTGGATATTTGCACTATCACGTTCCCAAATGGATTCGTTGACTCATCAACAATATAATTAAGTAGTCTGGTTTTGTGTCAACTGCCTGTGAACATGAGGATAGATGGCTCAGTTCTGACTGCAAAGAAATCATTAAAACAAAAATGCCCACACTCTCTAGCAGAGTATTAACCTATGCTAGTTTTGACGTTGTACAAAATGGTGGGGTTTGCATAGCCCAGAAGCCAATTTCTTGGATTTTTTTCTCACCCTTGCTGTATGGTTTGCTTTGTGTCCTTACCAAGTTCCATTGCAGTATGCTTCATGTCTCCTCCTGTAGTGTTCCTTAGTCATTTTGAGCTTCACAGTTTATAGATACTACAAAACTATGAGGCACCATTGTTGGATTAAAATGGAAGATTCTGAAAGGGCTATAAAGTGCTACTGACACTAGTTCCTAATAGTAACTGTACATTTATTCAGGTTAAACTATTGAGAGACCAATAAAGAAGTTATCCATGGCCTCCTCATGGATACTAATAGAAATCAAAGTAGTTAATGTGATTGCCATGAGCACTGAAAGAATTAATTACCAGAAAAAATAATATATATGTATTTTTTTAGCTTACGCAATTATTTACTTTTGCTTTTTTTTTCTTATCTTTGGATGATTTTTTTTTCTGCTGGAGAAAGACCATAAGGCTTTGCTGAAAATGTGGAACCTTTGTCTAGATTCTAAACGAAGAAGGTGCAGCTGTATGGCATAGTAGTAATATACGGCAGCAAATAATTTATGAAGACCTCATTGCTGTCTCCATTTCCCTGAAAAGTCCAAATCACTTCCTACCAAGTTTTAGTTGCCAAGTAGTCATTCTGGAATTTTGATGAAATAGATTCTTATTTCTATACAACATGTATCCCACAGCAATTTTGAGAAGCTATTTTCCGGGGGTTTTGTTTGTTATTGAACAGTAAAATGCCAGAGAGGAGTTAAAGTTAATTTGTCTGAGAGATGCACTGAAAACCTACCTGAATAAAAGACTAGTAGAGAAAATCTGTCTTCCATTAAGAGCTGCCTCTTAAACATAATTAGTCAGGACCTCCTTCATTTTCAGCTGCCCAAGAGCTAGAGTGGGTTTCTCAAGGTATAGCAGCTGTTGTAATTTGTACCCCTCCAGCTTGGCCTTTCAGATCTCAAGTCCCTATGCCAAAGGGGACATATTGTTGTCCCACCTTGTCAGGGGCTTCCTGCTCTGTGGTGGCTGCTCTTCCCTGCATGAATTAGCTGTGCATTAAGGGACAATATGAGAAACCATATTGCTAACCCAGCACTGCCATCCCTCAGCTGAGGGATGCAATAGGCATGCACTGGTGTTAAGTTCTGCTGATGGCCAGCCAGAGCATCCATGCTGCTGTCTTTTCCCCATTCCTGGTATTGCTGTATGTGGTTGCCTCCCTTTTCAGATGAGCATAGTTATGAGAATGTGTTATGCCAGAGTCCTCTATTTGCCCTCAGATACAGTGAGGTAATTCAAAGTCCCTGTGGGTATGTGATAACATCCTAATCAGCATGAGGTAGTGAGGGTACAGTTTCCCAGAAGTCTAGTGGCAGGAGTCTTCACAAACTTTGTGAAATGGGATTCTGCTGTACATGTCTCATTCCTTACTATCCTGCATTTTGGGTTGGGGTACTGCTGCTTCCAAACATCTCAGGGCACCAGTTGTCCTGTTTCTTTACCCTGTTTATTGCCCTGACTTCTTTCCAGACAAAGAATGTATGCATCCTCTGCAAAGGATAATCATCCAGTTTAAGTGGTTACTCAAAATCTTTCTGTGCTTATATTTCCCTAGATTCTAGGGACTGCCCAGGGATGGGCATTTGCTTGTTTCTGTTATGGCTTTTCATCTGTGTTGGTTAGTTACGATCAACCACATCTGTCACATGAAGTCTACTATATATACACAGATTTGATGTGCTTTTTCCACAGCTGATTGCCTATTGCAAGCATGCAGAAATGAGCCTAGGCAGCATACTGATATAGCTCATCATGTCTCCCTGTTTTTGAGCCATCCGGGCTAAAAAGCACCAACATGCCATGGGCAGTGGAAGGAAGCTCCTTTAAGAAATAATATTAGCTGTTTTGTAATAATTCCCTGGTTTTCTCTTCCTAGCTTCTTGCAATAGAGGTGAACACACCGGAGAAATTCAGCTCAACAGCTGATGTAGTGATACACTTGCTGGATACCAATGACAATGTCCCAAAGTTCTCTTCTGACTACTACATTGCCAGGATCCCTGAGAACTCCCCAGGGGGCTCAAATGTAGTTGCTGTTACAGTAAGTTTCATTCATTTCTTAAGAAATTCTGTCTTTTCTAGGTGTCTGTGGAGACAGTACCTTAAAAACAGGGGACAGACACAAGTAACAAATCTTACCTGTCACTCAGCTTCCAGACTGAACTCCAGATCCTTTCCAGAATCAAGAAATAAACTCCACTCTGAAAAAAAAATAAACTCTTAGGCAAACATTTTTCAGAAACACAATTTTACTTTGGTTTTTAGTTAAAGGCCATCTGCCTTTAAGGCAAATCACATGGCCTGTGAGTATTAAGAAAGCCCCAGTCAAATCAGTGTCCAGCAGGAAGATTCAGTTATGATTAAGTCGAATTGGATTTACTGGATTTACTTGCTTAAGTATGAGTAAAAAGAAAACAACATGGTTGCTAGTCAGTATCAGTCTTCTAGTGAGAGGAATCTGGCTGCTAAATGCATAATTAGACAGTTAATGAAGACAAGAATATAACATTAGAACACTTAGAGAATGGAAAGAAACATCCTCTCACAGTAGGAAAAACAAGCCTATGGATTTTCCAGTATCCCACATTTTCATATAAAGAAAGTCGGGGTATTACATGGACCATATGTGCTGGAGAAGCATTTCCAGCCATTGATGCGAGGTGTATCTCTTTAATGCAGCTGCTAGGACTGGAAACAGACCTCATGCCACAAAGCTGAGAAAGCACCTGGCCATCTGGGGCTCAGTGGGTGATGCAAGTCACCTTGCAGAGGCCTCACGGATGGGTAAGAATGATGGAGGCAGGTTGCCAGAGATCTGCAGCAAATGCTGACTGCAAGTAAGAAAGAAAGAGTCAGAATAATAAAGTACTGAAGGCAAATTTTAGGGATGGAAGAACAAAAGAAGAAGTGGAACATAAACAGTACAGAAAGTTTTATTAGAAAAAAAACAGCTTTCTGTTTTCTGCAGAAAACGTAATCCCAAACATCACTATCTTTGAAGCCAGAGGACTAAGAAATACTAAGAGGTGAACAGCAGAAAAAAAAATATAAAATAAGTTTGCAAAACAATGCAATTACCCATTCTGAGCCAAGGTACGCAGGTCATTGTAGCTGGCAAGTCCATATAAAATTTACTGTCATGTGCTGTCAACGTGTCCTCGGAGCTACCAGAGAAGTAGGAGCTCCTGGAAATAGCTGTTACCAAATCAATAGATTTCCTAATCCTGAGCTAAGAAAGGAAGCCAACAAGAGTCTGGAACTAAGATATCATCTGGGGTAGTATCTGCATTACTGAAAATCACACAGGCACAAGAGTGATTAAAATATAAAAAAACCTGAAAGATTGTGTGTAAATTGAAGCATTTGTTACGCATTAAATTAAATCAATTAAACAAGCAAAGGCTTAAAAAATACTCTATATAAAGCAAATAATTTTGTCTGGAGAATATACGTTAATATTTAACTGATAATTAGGAAGGTTTGAGAGTGGGCAGTTTGGTTGTTGTTGTTTTGTTTTTGGTGTTTTTTTTTGTCATTAAGATTAACTCCATCCCTATTAAGGGAAGGATGTGTTAAATGTCAATGGATAGAGCCATCTAGTGGCTTTCTCCCTGCTAGAGCCTCTGGATACCAGACCGGGCAGGAGACAGGCGGCATCTTAACAGCTTCCTGGAAAGACCAGTGATGTTTCCTTGTGTTATATTTTGCACATTTGCTTTATGTGGTTTCCCCCTACAAATGTGATGGCAAAAAGAGTGAAAAGCGCTTGTGTTTTATATGGCCTGTTTTTAAAAGAAAAACATTTCTCTTCTGCAATTTAGTAGAGGTTGATTCTCTTATTTCCTTTTATTAAGGCTACAGATCCAGACTCAGGGCTTTGGGGAGAAGTCAAGTACTCCATCTATGGAACAGGAGCAGATCTGTAAGTAAAAAAAAAAAAAGAAAAAGAAAACTACGTAACCTCTAAGCAGGGCTTTAAAAGATTTCCTTTTTTTTTTTTTTTAAAGAACAGACTCATTCTTGACCTGCTCATTTCCAAGGACATTTATGCCATGTTCTTTGTGAGTTCTGCGAAAACAACAACAGAAAAACTAGTGTGATCATTAAACATCTGCTTCATGAACTCATGGAATTTTACCCACAAGCCCCCAAAGAGACATAAGGCAGCTAAAGTACCAGTACAGAGGATCTGTTCAATCACCATTTAAAAAACACTTATAAGAGAGAGGTAGAGGAGGTTTTGGTCTATTTGTGAAAAGTCAGTTCTGGAGGACAAAAAAAAAAACAAACCACGTTGCTCTTTCCTCTTTACTTTCCATTCAGTTGTATAGATGGTTTAGTGTTAACTCTTGTCAGCATAAATCAAAGAAGACTTTCACAAATATAAACTTCAGCTTTGAAGGCCAGCTGCATTGAGTGTTCAGAGCATTTTATGTATTTAAACCTAATAGTCCTGTATCAACGAAGAAAGCAATCTATTGTTTATTTGATTTTGTAATGATGTCTAGCTCCTTCTCCCTGTTTTGGGGGGCAGTGATGGGTAAGAACATTCTGAACCTGAAACACTGGTTACTGCCACACTGCCTCTACCCCAGCAGTTGCCCTGGCCCATTTGCTGTCATGGCTAGCGTCACTGGCCATCACAGTTATTGCTTCTGGAACTTGCAGCTCCAGGATATGGCTCACCTGCAGAATCTGTTTTTCTCTGTACATTATCCACCTGTAGTTAAAGATGAACTCTTTCTGTTAAGGTGAAAGCCTTTTAGGAGACACAGTCAAAGTCCAAAATACAAGCTGATAAGGTCAAACCTCTTCTGTAGCCAGAAGAATACACATACAGGAACATTTCCTTGATGGGTTGTTTTGAGCTCTTCGCTAAGTCCTGAAGCTAGCTGCTAACTGCATAGAGGCAAGCAGGCAAGTTCGTGTCATACAGGCAGACCTTTCAGGTTTAGAATATAGCAGCTGGTGCAAAGAAGCTTATGAAGGTTGTTGACTAAGGATTTAGAAAAAGATGTGAGTGCAACTTTATTCTGATTGGAATTATGGGAATGCTCAGACTCACTGTTCTTCTGTGAAGAAATTAAGAGTGAATACTTTTTTTCTTCCTTCTTAAGTATGATTTTCTTTTCCTTGTGCCAGAATGGCATGTCTCCGTAAAGCTGGATTGACTGCCTAGTCCTGGGACCTCCAGATCTGCTGAACACACAAATTTGGTGCAGATGTGAGAGTTTCAGCTAGACGCATGATTTTTTCTGTCTCAGGGGTTTCATCGGTGGATATGTAGTTGCATTGGCAGAAAGATGAGTTGCATTGGGTGAGAAGAATCGTTTTATTGTTGAGCATGAAACCATTATGCTCATAATCCTACATCTAAGCTCTCAGTGGGAGTGGGGTACGCTGCTGCAATGCCTTCACATTTCTGTGCTTCTATTCTTCCACTAAAATGTGGGTGATGAGAGTCCTCTCTGCATGGTTAGCCTGGGCTGTGTACTAAGGAGGCACTTGGTATGGGCACTGTCTCCTATCAAAAGTTTGCACAGATCTTTCGACCTCTTGGCTTTCATCAAGACTTGTATTTGTATTTAACAGGGTAATGAAAACAATTGAAGGGTCTGGATTATTAAGTACTGTTTTTACAATTGCTCTCAGTTGTGCTCACAGTTGAAATACAGAAAATATTTTGTTATCCTGTACATTAATTTAAGGGTATATAAAACCCTTCATCTGTTAAAAACCCTACCACCTGGAACCTATACTGGCAGCCCATTTTAAAATGACACTCTGTTAGTATCTTCTCTATAAATCCAAGATTTTGGCTGACAATTTGACAGTGTCTCAGTAATTACAAATGTGTAGAATCAAACTTGCTACAGATAAATCTGAACACCCACTCCATCCCAGTGCCAGTCTATGGAAAAGTCATGACTTTTGGAGAACATAATTAGCCCCAGTCTTTGGGGGATTTGAGAGAAGCCATTTTTCTTACTCATTTTGAGAAGTGAAGAGCTAAAATATGATATGCAGCATACTTCCTTTAGCTATTAAGGTGATATCAATCAATCTTAATTTATGCAGGATATGATCTAATATACCGTACTTATAAAAGAGGGAAGAAAAAAAAAAAGGCAGTTCCTTAGTGTTTTAACACTAAGAAATCATTCTAGGGGAAGACCATCACACTGTGTGTTTACTGAGGACAAAGACTTTAACAGAAAATGCACCTAAAATGGCTAATGCTCAATAGATCAAAAAACACTGGGAACTGATAATTCTCTGGTTTTAAAGCCTCAAGGGACTAGCCAGACAGGAGTTAGATGAAGAGTAACCAGTCTTTTGGCACAACATTTCAATGTTTAAGCCCACCTTTGCCCCAGGCTGTTAACACACTAAGTGACCAAAAGAACCAAAAGTCTTTGCATGCTTCTTTTCCAGGTTCCTAATCCACCCATCAACAGGTATAATTTATACCCAGCCCTGGGCTGTATTAGATGCTGAAGTGAACTCAAAGTATAATTTCTATGTGAAGGCAGAGGACACAGATGGGAAATACAGCTTGGCTGAAGTGTTTATCACTGTGCTAGATGTCAATGACCACTCTCCAGAGTTCAATGAAAATATCCAGGAAAAGACGATGATCATTGGGTCACCAGTGAAGATAGAGGTGAGAGGCAACACTGTGTGTCACAAAGCAGAGTGCTTTGGAAAAGCCTGAGCTCTGGTGTTTATTGTTCAGGAAATGTGACGAATGTCTGAAAGCTGGCTTTTCCTGGGGCTTTATTTTTCACATTCATATATATGTAACAAGTGGATTAAAGCATGGAATGATAGTATTTACAGACTGCTGAGAGGGAGAAATAAATTCTGTAAGCAAAAGATACAGTTCTGTTACAGTATTTGAATCACCCACTGGTGGAGGACCCTGGATTATACAGTGATCGTAAGAAGCCCAAATAAGATAAGTGAATGAAAGTATAGGGTTTTGAATACTTAACCTTCCTGCCACATCTTTGTGCCTAACCACACAGCTTCTTTCCCTTTGCTTTGCAGAATTGTATTCGTTGATCCAGTGTGGAAAAGGAGGCTAAAAAAATTGCAATAACAATTCACAGGCAAAGGAGCAGAACATCTAGTGTTACACAGATTTGATTGCATATAGTGAAGATTACACAACACTGAATGTTAGCAGAAAAAATACCACAGCACAAAAATTAGGGCACCTCTAGTTTATAGTGTGGATCTAATGCTATTGTTCCCTACTACTTCACATTTGTCCCCATGCTATGCAAGAAACTCCCCAGCAGTGGACCATTTGCATTCTACAAATAGGAATAGGTTATGGTTCAGTTTTTCCTCCAATATTGTTTAATCTCAGAAATCGCTTATACAAAAATAACTCTAGTCCTGCTGTTTTTCACTAGAAAGTGTAGCATAGCTGATACCAGAAAAAGCGAAATTGTTTCCAAGATGAAAGAAAAACAGCCCAGTCACAGCATGGGTATTATCAGAAATGAATGCTCAGAAACTCTGAGTTTTATCTTCAGGCAAAAGATACAAACAATAACATCTCTATTCTTTATGCTTCTCCTACCAGGCTATAGATCAAGATGCAGAAGAACCCAACAACATTGTAGATTATTCCATCATGCAAGCAGATCCAGCCAACGTGTTTGATATAGACCAAAGCACTGGGGAAATCAAACTGAAATCCTATATCCGTTCCCTGGATATCATCCACAATATCACAAAGAACAAAGACTGCATATGGTCAGTGGTGGTGCAGGCCAAAGACCGAGGCTCCCCATCCTTCAGTACCACAGCAGTCCTGAAGATTGATATCACAGAGGAGGTAAGCAAATGTTATTTTAAAAAATCTTTATGTGAGAGGCACCAAAGAGTAGACGCTGTTTGCTTTATTCCTGACAATACTTTAAAAATGCTTCTGGAGTTGCAATCTAGCCAAAATGTTGCCAGCCGTTCCTTCTCCTTCCTTGCTAGCTCTGTTTTGTAGTGTTTCTAGAGTCTTGTGGTGAAGCTGAATTCTACAGCTACAAGCGCAAAAGACATTTTGATCAGAGAAATTGTAAAAGTACAAAGGTGGGAGCATATTATGGTTGGGAGATTAATTTCTTGCATCTGATTTTTAGAGATAGATGCAAATAAAAGACTACAGACTCCTGAGAGTAAAGGTAAATCCTGACTGCTAAATTTCTGCACTTTTTAATGTAATTCAACAGAAGAAAAACAATCTTTTTCCCTACAAAAAGTGAGTAGAAAGTAGCTGTGGCCAGAGTGAAATGTATCAGACCAGTTTTGCATGTCAACATAAGTGACAGAGGAAAAGTGAGAAAACTATTATAGGAATGCTTTAAAGTACATAGAATTTTAGATGTAAGTTTAATAGTTGCAGTATTATCAGCAGACAAAACAAGAACACTCTAAAAGATTGCACACCTGGATTGAGAGTTTCCTGTTAGTCCAACTTTTACATCAACAAAACAACAAGCAGCGCATGCTTGCATGATTCTTATTTATTGTAACTGTCTTGCCATGCCTTTAAGTAGGTACCAGCAGGGTGGAAATAGGCTTTAAAGTAGATGAGAAACACATTGTTAGCCTGACAATCTCTGGACCACACACATACTGCACAAAGATGCAAATCTCTTCCTACAGACAGCAGCTGGCCTTCTCTTTGGTCAAAGTGCACCTACTGCTCCTTTATCTGTTACAGTCTGTTTTCTCCATACCCTCTTGTTCCATTGATACTCCTTATCAGGTGCATTTATATGATACTTCTTGTACACAGTTCAAAGCCTGATGGAGGTTAAAGCTGTCTTCAGAGAACACTTGTGTGCATTGGCAAAATAAACTGAGCAGCACAAGAATAGCCTTCAGTCTCTGTTGTGGGCACCTGTACTGTCAGAACTGCCAGGTGACTTCGGTCTGCCCTAGCAGAGGGGGTACCTGGCATGGGGCTGCTTCTTGGGGCTGGCCAGCCCTGCTGCAGGCTCCTTGGAAGCTGCTGTGCAACATTGCTGGGGCTCATTATGGGCAGAGCATGCTGCTTCAAGGCCATGACATGTGGAACGGGGGGACTGCACAGGCTGGGTTTCTGTGATCACTCTAGAGATTTAGCCATTCTTACAGATATAAAGGAAATAAACTGCTTAACACTGTGATTTCCCGTGGAAACCAGACGTTTTGGTGGTTTTTATATAACAAATAAGAATTTCTACCTGCAGCCAACAGTGGGAGCTTCAGCCATCCCTGCCTTGCTTCCAGGCTTCTCACAGGGTGCACATTCCAGGAGAGTGTGGTACCAGGTGGCCACAGGCACTGTCCCCAGTCTTGACCCCCTGTATTTGGTCTCCAGTTTTCCTTCCTCTCCCGATGAGCTGGTGACTTCTCCATTAGTATGCAGGGCTAAGGCACAGGGTGGAGGGATGTCGAGGGGATGGAGAGTACACTATACCTCCTCTGCTGGGAAAGAAGATCTGTATCTAAACCAGTTGATGAAGGACATCCGGGGAGAAAACAAGAGCAGCTTATTTCCTGGATTTCCTTCTTGTGCTTCAAGCACATCAGCATTTGTCTTTTACAAATTTTCCCCTCTGTTTCCTTTTCTCCCCCTCCAGGGGCACGGATTTGGCACAAAGTGAGGGATAAATTCTAAAGGGGAAGCAGAGAAGGCAGTGAGACATGTATCCCTCTCAGACAATTTTTCTTTCTCGTCCTCCCATGCCCGATGAAAAATCCTGACACAGAGTCTGAGATAGCAACAGCATCTTCTTTCTTCACTTGCATAGGTCTTTTAAACAGGGTCTGTGCTATTGATCTGATGTTGCATCCTCCATAAGATTTTGTACATTTCTCCAGTAATTCTTCCATTGCTTGCAATGATTTGTGTTGGTTTTGTTTTTTGTTTTGTTTTCATCAAAAAGCATCACATCTTGCAAAAACCACTCTCAAATTTCAGCTTGTATGTGAGTGAGATGTAATGCAATATCAGCGTACACAACCTTTGGTCCCTCTCTGTGCCCCAGAGACTGTGAAATCACTGCCAAAGCTTTGTGAAGAAGAGTCTCTCGGTATAGGAACATTGTGTACTCTCCAGTTTTCTCTCTGAGACTGTTAAAAATGTGTATTTTATCCCTCTGTTCTCCAGCTGTAAAAAGTCTCTTTCAGTTAGCTGTTTGGTGGGCATTTATGTATTACTGATTTTGGATAAGGAGGATATTTTTGAATACATCCTCTAGAGGTTTCCTGCAGTGTTAATCACACTAAGTAATTAAACAGGCATATTTTCTGATTAACATTTACCATTGCAATTAGCACAGGGCTGTGCCCTTTGAGATAGATGCCTAGTGGCTAAGTTCAGCAGTATTGCACATCAAGAAGACCTTTTGGTGTTGGAATAATACAGTGATAAAAAAAATCCAGAGGCCTTTTAATTTAACTGAGTCTGGGTTTACGGAAATTGGTATTGAGTGGCGACTGTTAATCTATCCTTTCTCAACAGAATATTAAACATGCTGAAAAAGCCACTGCTTTTTCACCCTTATGTCTCACTCAAAAATCTATTCCTGCTACCTGAGATTTTCATGGAAAGCTGATTCCCACTCGTGAAGGTTGGCCTGATGAGGAGATCCCTCTGCCTCTTTATGACTCCACTGAGATTCTGCAAACATACGGGGGCGTTTATTTACACCTCTTCATGGACTGAGGCTTAAATCCACATTTAGACAGCATAATCTCCAGTCCTTAATAGCTTTGGCCCCTCATTTAGACTTCTAAATGTAGCTGGTGAGTCTCAGTTTTAGATCCTCCTAACTGAAAGGTTCAACAAATGCTGTCTGTGAATTAATGTGGAGATCTCCTTGTCCCTCATATTAACTCTGAAACCACAGAAACTGTGGCTGCTGATGGCACTAAATATCCTTTACCACAGCTGCAGAGCAGTTAGCCTCTTCTTTCTGCAGTTACATGGACCTTGAAAACAGTTGTTCAGAGAAGGTTGGTTTGATTTGAGAAGTTTTGCCCCATGATGGTGTTTGTACTGCAAAGTGATGTAAATGCAGCCTTCATACACAGTCATAGCACTGCTCTTTGGGCTAAGCACTGAAGGGGGCAGCTTGTGTTCTACCTCAGATCAGGAGTTACTTCTGAAGCAAATCTCCTTATCAGCCCACATTACTGTGGGATGGCTCATATCTCAGATTGCTCCAAGCACACAAACTGTATTACTTTCAGATAAAAATGTGTTTGTGAAGCACACCAACTGTGCTTTGGTGGTAGCAAGCAGTCCGTCCCTGCAACCAGGCTAGAACAAAAGTCCAGAAATGCTTATTATGTAGAAATAGGCTCCACAGAACCAGCTGGGTGTTGCACAAATCCAGTTGCTCAAGTCAACACAGCCTGGGTTGTTTATAATCTGTGATAGCTTGGGCTCTTAACAGCTTCACCTACTTAGACTTCTAAATACAGCTGAGGAGCCTTAGCTGCTCTTGTGGTTGAACAGCTCAACCACACACTCCTGGTGTGTCCAACTTCCGGGTACATCAGCGACTTGCTCTGTTCACTGTAACCCATGCATTATGAAAGGCCCTTGAGAAGCTGCCAGGAGATGTGCGTCTCTGTACACTGCAAACTGTTGTGATAGGAAAGAGAAAAGCAAAGGAAATTAGTTACCATTTTGGTAGCAAAGACTGACATGGGCACCTCTTCAGAAAATATAACAACATAAGAAGGGTGTGAACATGCTAAAACAAGTCCAGAGGAAGGCCACAGAGGTGGTCAGAGGGCTGGAGCACCTTGCCCATGAACACAGGCTGAGAGAGTTGAGGTTGCTCAGCCTGAAGAAGAGAAGGTTCCAGGGAGACCTTGGAGAAGCTTCCAGTGCCTAAAGGGAGCCTGCAAGAAATCTGGAAAGGGACTTTTTACAAGAGCATGTAGTGATAGGACAAGGGAAACAGGTTCAAACTGCAAGAGGGGAGATTCAGCTCTTAGGAAGAAATTCTTTACTGTGAGAATGGTGAGGCACTGGAATATGTTGCCCAGAGAAGCTGTGGCTGCCCCATTCCTTGAAGTGTTCAAGCCCAGGTGGGATGGGGCTTTGAGCAACCTGGTCTAGTAGACGGTGTCCCTCTCCATGGCAGGGGATTGGAATTAGATGATCTTTAAGGTCCTTTCCAACCCAAACCTATCGCTACTTAAATAATGGGAAAACTCTTTGCACAGCAAAATGATGAAAATTGCTCGCTACGTGTAAAGTTAAATGGTCCATGAATTTCAACAGCATTTCTTCACCCATTTCTCTTTGACAACAGGAAATATTCAGGGTAGAAGAGTGGGCTTGGATAATGTGTTTGAGGTAGGTTATGAAAATACAGAAGTGAAGGCAACGGGGGTATTTATTAATGAATTTACATTCCCCAAGTTTAGGGATGTGATTTAAATAGTGTTCCTGTGTAATATCTGACAAGAGGTGCTCTGAAACATTTTGGGGGGATACTTAGTTGTTTTCCTCCACAGACTGGGGAGGATGGGGAGATGAGCATCCTAGTTTAGACTGATACAGAGAAATCCATGTGATCTCACTTTAACTGACTAAAAGCCAGAAGTTCAAGACCAAGCTAGTCACAAAGCTGTCTTTATACTCACTGCCTTTGAGATCTATATTAGCATGGGGTGACTATACTTTGGACATGTCATTTTCTCCCCATTGACTAAAAGGCTGGCAGCTTAGACAACCAACTAAAATGCAGATAACCTGTTATTAGAAATGGAAAGTTTGGGTGATGATTCCCTCCCAAAGTCTAGGACAGAGGATTGGGGCATGATGAGTAGCCCTGTCTCTCCACAGCTGCACATAGCTTTATGACCAGCTATTTGTTAAATGAACCAGAAATGTGCCATTTCTGAAGGATCTCCTGGCCTTCCACAACACTACTCTCTGTCCAGATACAATTGCAGGAGCTTGTATTTATTACGAACTTCTCTTGGAAATGTAGTCCAGGGTGGACTACCGTGCCAGGAATAAAGGTGATCTATGTACCACGCTGCTACCCTCTATTCTCTGATCAACCAGGTGTTTAGAAGTGCCTCCTAACTTCGGTTAGTGCTTCTGGATTCAGTTCAATGTCATTACAACTGTCTCTTCTCCTGTGCCTAGTTCAACACTTAGCTCCCTTTACACTATATGCTTTCTGTCCTGTACGCATTTCACCTTAGTTCCCTAGCTGTACTTATGATAGATATTGCCCTCCTTCAAATATAACTATTTGAGGGCTGACCATTTCTCTTATTTTTGATATTTCCAGATCAAGTCCAGGGTAAGATCCTATATTTTAGGCCTCAAGAAGCGTCCATGGACAATATTTGGAATTTGCATGAGTGGCGTCCTTTCTACCATTTCTGTAACAATGGTGATCTCCACCATCATGTACTGGAAAAGTGTGAAAAGATCCAAGCTCCACCCACAGGGCAAAATCCGCAAAATTATACGGGGACCTCCGAGACGCACAGTGTGCTAAACTGCAAAGTGAACTGGCCATTCATTTGTCCTTAATATGCCATATGTAGCTTATGTTATTGTTTATTTCTTTTATTTCTAAAAACAAAGCTCTTTCTTTAACTCTACTCATCTCCCCTACCTCAAAGAGTTTTGTTATGTCTGTAAAAGAGTACTTGAAAACAGAATGGAGCACATACCTGCTAACTACTCTTTTGTACGCTGTAATTTTATGAAGTGAGGTTTTCTCATAATCTTTTCAATGCCATGCTCAGTAATAGTCCTATAAACTGCACACCATATCACCTGCAATTGTTGTTGAAAGTTCATTTTCTACTCATAAACTTCTATTTGGGTTCAACACTATTATTCCTAGGAAATTAACTCTGAAATGTAGTACAACAATACAGCTGCAGATCCTGGAGCCAATTATTTTCTTCCTCAGTTCTTGCAAATTAAACAAACACTATGGTGACATGCAGGAATCCATCCTAATTTGGCAGTAGTACTCCTGTAAGCTTTCACTATTGTTGTAAGCATCTTGGAATGCTGTAATGCTTGCTCAGCGTCCTGCTCCATCTAAAGTCTCCAAACCTGGGCTGGCTCTTTGACTCATTTTTTTTTTTAGAGACAACTTCCATTAGTTAGCCCTGCTTGTTACATATTTTGGACAAATGAAATTTCTGGGTCACTGTCTGTCCCATAGAGTAAGTCATGTGTTTTCTCTGTACTCTTTTACAGACTCTTCACAAAGGGCCTATGGCCGCCTTTTTGATGCAAACTAAAGATAACCCCATGAAAGCCTTAGGAGTGCTAGCTGGTGTCATGGGCATAATGGTGCTGATAACTAGCATGATCTCTACTGCCATGTTCTGGCGCAACAAGCGGTCCAGCAAAATCATGCCGGTAAGACGGATCATAAAAAAGAGACAGACCCCACAGCCCCGGACAATGAGGATGGAATGGCTGAAATTCAAGAGGCCCAGCAACGCTGCAGAGAAGTTTGTTGTTGAGAATGATGCCAAAGATCTGCACAATGAGAACAGCAACAACAACATCCAGGTTGCCCCTGTGCCGCCGACTGCTCCCTTGCCTCCACCTCCCCCCACCGTGGCTCCCAGGGGTGATGCCTCAGGGTGGCGGGTGCCGACTGTGTCCGGCTCCCTCACTCCCAAGTTTATAAACAAGCAGGTGAAGAAGAGAGGTCATGGCAGTGCCCACAATGCCCTTGTGTCAGAGCTCAAAATGAGGTTTGAGAAGAGGAACGCAGCTATGGGTGAGCCCCACATCTAGGTGCTCTTGGCAGCCCCCAGTGACTGCAGATTGTGGCTGGGCGTGGATATATTTATGTGCTGTGGTTTTCCCTGTGTCTGTCAGCATTCCGTGAACTGAGAGCAGCTTTGTGCTGGAATAGACACCCCTCACCTTCTGCAAGTATTACATGCTACAGAGTCACCCCACCTATAGCATAGCTGCGGTCATTGTCCAGTTGCAGCTGCAGTACCTTTGGCTTGTGTCACAGTGCTGGTCCTTCCCAACAGCTGTCTGAACAGGGTACTGAGTACCTTCATGCCAGCCACAGTTTCCCCAAGTGAACAGGGATTCAGGTTGCCCCCATTTTGGTGACCCCTACCCAGAGTCCAAGTTTTCAAACACAGAATTCTGCAGCCAAGGCACTGGAGGATGCCAGTTCTGACCTGGACTCATAGGTGTGTCTGAGGTGTCCAAAACCCCATCATGTCCAATCCGAGACTCACTTTTGAAGACACTGGCCTGGCTGTAGTGCCAGCACTGACTCAATGTGCAGGTCTCCTACAGCAGTGACACTGCATGCTGCAAGAAGGTATAGTGTAGCTGGTACCTGCTGTCTTCAGGGTGCAACACACTTTGCAACAGCTGGAAGAGCAATGTGCTCATGGCCTGAGTACCTTCATTCCCAAAACGTAAGCAGACAGACTTGGAGAAGGTCATAATTTTCCTGCAGCTTATGATGGGTTTTGCCAGAGTACATTGACATGATGCTGTGCTTTGCTTCTGCTCTGAACTTGCCTAGTAATCATCAGACAGGAAGGCCACCTCAGCCTTCTCTAGACCAGCTGGGGCAAGATTGGAGCACAGTTCAATAGCAGCGCTTGCTCAATACTGCCCTCTTCTGACACCGTGTCCCCCAAGGAGGGGAAGCCCATACGGAGAAGGACGTGATGAAAGCAGCAGGGAATACAAGGGAAAACCAAGATCAAAATGATAAGTGAAAAATACAGACAAGTGCTGGAAAGTTGCATATGTCGGTCAGGGAAGTGTGTGGAAAGATCATTTGATTTTGTACACTGCTAACAGGAGGTGTTGAGGAATATATTTCACCACCTATCCTGGCTTGCTCCAGGGACTGGTGAGTGCAAAGGAGGTTTCTGGTTTGTCCTGTCAGTACTTTTGAGTGAATTATGCAACCGTCAGGAGGGGTAATGCAGGGGGTGGGGCACAGCTGACACTTTTTTTGGCTGTTACATGACGGTAAAAAGGCACCAAAGGCAGAACGCTTTTTCACTGGATCTTTTTTCACTGGATGCACAGTTTCACCCTCCTGTTTGTTTCTGAGGGCATGCTTTTCAGCTGGGACTGTTTCCTCACCCTCTGGGAAAAAGCAGTGTGTACCAGGCTGCTGGGAAACGGCACACTGCACCTCTGCCTGTGCTCTGGCCCTGCAGGGCAGCTGTGCTGTCATGGATTAGCACTGTGAAGGTCAAGATGGGGAGCAAACCCTACAGGACAGAACACTGTTAATTCAAGGGGTTCCTGAGACTCTTCTCCAGCTCCAGCAGACATGGCCTTCAGGGATTCCTCTCCTGACATCCCATCAGCTGGTCTAATTTCCTTTCTCTGCATCAGCTTGGGGGACAGCTGGTTGAATATAAAGCTCCCTAGATACAGGGAAAATGCTGCATTTTTTAACTTCAGTCTGATACATCTAGAAGTCAGAGGGTGACCATAGCTCATGTCACCTGTGGGCTGAGCGAGGAGCTGTATCCCAGTGGTGCAGCAAGGTCTCAGCAGGGGGGCTATGCCCTCAGTGCTGCTCTCCTGTCATGTCTCTCATTTCCATCACTTTTCTTACTTATCCCTCCTCCTGGGGCTTAATGGCATGAGGCCCAGGCTCTGTTGTTGTGTGTGGTCACCTTGTCCTCCGGCTATGGGTGGAGGGAGGGGATGTGCAGCCACTGGGCACACTCCCACTGCCCTGTGCAAGCATGTGTGTTCTGCTGGTTGTGTCTCCACCAGGTTGTGCAGTGTTTCCCAAGGTATCAAAAATCTGTGGTTTATTACCCATACTACTGTTTTCCCAGTGTTGTGTTAAAGCCAGCATTCAGTGTTTGTTCTCCAATGAGGAAAGCCTATAAAAACCATTCAGTTAACTGAGATTTATTAGGCATTATAGTCTTACAGTCTTAGAGATTGTATTTAAGAGAGAATAAAGATGTTTTATTACTATGTTGTGAGACTTTTCTCCAGTTACTCTGTATTTCAACTTCAGGGTGGGTTTTTTAATAAATAAATAAATTATATAAAAAAAAAACCAACCTGCAAAAGGTGCTTCTGTGCATGACATGCTTCTGCTGGCAGTGAGGCCTTGCTGTTGCTTGGTATTGACCACATGGGTGCAGGCAACCAGAGGTCTTTCTAGGATAACAAAATGGACTCTTTTGCAGGCCATGAGTCAGAAGAGGGGCTGTGTGGATTTTGTGCAACACTAGCCTGGAAGGAGAGGAGGTGAGAACAGGATGCTGTAAGGCACAGAGGACAGGCAGGGTCACAGATGAGTCCATGGCCGAATGCCCATTGCACTCTGCAGCCCACTGCGGCACAGCCCCAGTGGCAGAAGAGCTCCCTGTGAGACAACAGGTTTGTCTGATGCCAGAGCTCACTGGGTATGCAATTTGTTATGAACTTTGCACAAGTGGTGATGGGTTGTTTTGTCTTTCCTTGGCTGTTCCCTCACTGTGATTTAGTGTCTCTCTCTCTGGTCTCCACAGTTTGATGTTGTTCCTCCATGGTGACTTGAGTGGGAGAAGGCCAGTCATTACAGGCACTGGTGTCTTTTTTCACTCACCCCTCGCACATGGGGAGTGATGGACCTCAACCAGTATCATCTCTTGCCTGTCCCTGTATGCACTATGTCCCCAGGGGTTTCTCCAGGACAAGGTCATCTCCCTTGCTTGGCAGGCTGCTGCTGCTCCTTCCTCACTGCTCCATACCCCCTGTGATGTGCTGCAACAGCCAGGCTCCCTCCATCCCTGCAGCCGAACCTCAGAGCCCCTTGGTATCCAGGATTTTTACAGTTTGTAACTGTAAAAGACTAGAAATGAAGCAGAGGACATCTGCATATTCTGAAAATCCATCACATTTATTACTTTGACAACAAAAGACTGACAAGACTAGGAAGTCTCTTGAAGTATAACACTGAGAGTCAGCACTGACAAAACAGGCCTCTGCTCAAAAGCTGTGCAGTAGCTTACAGCAGAAGGAGATGCTGGGGGAGGAAACACAGGGCCTGAGGAGGGTCAGCATGGAAAACACAGCAAAACCCAAACTACAACTAGAAAGCCAAACTGCCATGTAGTGAAGCTCACATTAGGCTTTATCTCTGCTTACCACTGAGGTTCCTGCTCTATTTCTTATCTTTTTGAGGAGGTCTAAGCACATATTTAAAAGTGCTGTGGGTCTGCTGGCCACGTGCTTTTGTTGTGCTGGAAAGCACGAGGCCAAAACCAAAAAACAATAAGTCACACGTCCTCAGACCCCCAAGAAATAAAGCATGAGTTGCTCTGTGAGCTGGGGGCTGGTTGCTTTTACATGCGCATCTGGGGTTTTTTGCCTCTAGAAAGGAGTCAAGCTTTGGTTTTAAAGCAGCAGGGTGGGCAGGCAGCACATCTGCATTTGGGGAAGGTGCCTGGCTCCCAGCCCTGGCTCCACCACTGTCTGTGCCCCATGCCAATTGTCCTGCCAGCCCAATCCAAGCCAAGCATCCCCATCACCTCCCATATCACCCTACAGCCACAGCGCCATCTTTTCTCCAAGTAATTAAAATAGCTCCATCATGTTGACTCAGTCTTCCCCCCGCTACTTTTTGTTGCTGGTTATGACCACAGACCTGCCCTGGCTCTCTGTCCCTGTTTCAATGAGGCAGCACCTGGCACAGGGCAGAGCTGCGAATGAATCTCTCCATCCATGCTCCAGCTGGGAAAAATAAAGTGAAGTGAGAGCAAGGGGAGACCTTTGGCATTTTGCCACATGCACTATTATTGGTTTGGTTGGGGTATTTTTGTTAATGCTGTGTTTGTATGATTTCGTGCATTGCTCTGTGACACTGTTGCAGAGGCAGACCTGGACTGTGGGGTCACAGCCACACACCCTGAGCACCCCTATTCGCAGCACTTCCCAAGCCTGCTGCAGTTCCAGTGGTTATGCCCAACCATGCCTTGAGTCCGTGCAGCACGGAGTCTCCTTTGCACGGTCCCTCAAACAAACCAGCGCGTACTGTGGCTTGAGGTCACCTCTAAAAGGTGCCGCTGCAGACAGGCAGGGCGGGCACAGCTGGGCTAGTAGAGGTCAGCGCTGTTCCTGTGGGGTGGCCGGGTCTTGCCAGGCTCATCACAGGCTGGGGGCCGCCGGATGCTGCGGCCACCCTCGGGGAGGCAGAGCCCGTCCTCGCTGCCGGCTGGCAGGCTGTCCAGCGTGCTCTCCTTGCTGCCCGCAGCCTGGGCCTGGCCCTCGCGGCGGCGGCGTGGGCACATGCTGGGGCAGCGGGCCAGGCAGCCAGGGCGGGCCTCAGCAGTGCAGGCGTACATGCCAGCGGGCACAGCCAGCACCATGGCGCAGACGATGACCACGATGTGGATGAGCTTCTCACGCTGCTCCAGCTGGCTGATGTCGCTGCCCGTGACGAAAACGACGCACTGGCCCTTGCGAGGCACCTGGTTGCGCACAGCCACGCACACCTCGTACTTGGTGGCAGGCAGCAGGTCAGTCACCGAGTAGGTGTTGATGCCGGGGCCAATGTAGATGGCGTCCTTCTGGGCCGTGTCATAGCGGCCCACCAGGAGGGTGTACCAGGTCTCCCCTGGCTCGCCTGCTGCTGCTGCCACTGCAAACCACTCCAGGGTGATGCCATAGACTGTCTGCTTGGCAATGCGCACTTCTACGTGGGCTCCCGACTCAGCTGGGCCAATGGGGGCCCAGGCTGGGGTGGTGGTGGTTGAGGATGCCCACGGGGACCGCACATGGAGATTGATGGCCACTGAGGTGTTGCCCAAGAAGTTAGCAGCTGTACAGGTGTAGTTGCCAGCATCTGCTGTCCGTGCTGCGGGGATCAGCAGCTCTGAGCGCACCATGTCCTCACTGATGGGCTCCGTGGACACTGCAGGCAAAAGGGAGCTGTGTTAGCATGCAGAAACATCTTGAGGTAGCGCCAGGACCACTCTAATGTGGGATGGGTGCCAGGAGGCCAGGCAGAGCCTGCCCTGCCCCAGGGAAAGAGGAAGAGGGGGCAGAGGAGTGTGCCAAACCCCACAGAGCTTGTCAGCAAAGCATTTTCCAGGCAGAAAGGCAATAAATGCACTTGGACACCTAAGGATGGGAGACAGGGTGTATGGCTACCCCAATGTGAGCTGCTGGGGAGGCTGCTGTGGGCAGAGGCCAAGCCACCTGTATGCCGTCTGCCATCAATGTCCTCAGGTCACGGCAAGCCAGGGAGAGCCACTGAGGCGCAGCAGGCACCACTGCATTTTGGACGCATGCTCCATCCTCCATTTGGATTGAATGTAGAAAAATGTCAGTCTCAAGAGGCTTGGGCCAAAAAGAGGTGTGTGAAACCGCGCATTGTTGGTCTGGAAGTGAGATGCAGCTTTAAGAATGGTATGAAACACCCTGTTGCCTACCCAAACAGGGGCACATGGCTGTGCTTGGGGAAAGCTTGTATGTAATTAATTCAACATGTGCTTGCAGAAAGATGCACAAGTGCTACAATGCTGCAATTAAAGCAAATATCAGCCCAGGATTAAGGGCTAATTCTATCTTATTTAGCTAGCTGGCTTATTAGGAACCCACGTGCATTATTAGCTTGTCTGATGAAAATAGCAACTTGCCCTACTGAAGGCTCTTAGTAAGAATAAATGTGAGGGAAGCCTTGTAAGACCCAAGCTGGACAAGGAGGAAAAGGCCTCATATTGCAAGGACCTCAGTAAAGAACATAAATAAACAAAGCTTATGGAGAATGACAACGTCTGTTTTGGTTATAGAGCATGAATGAATACAGACAGGCAACAAGTCTGCATGATTTTGTGGTTTATGTGGGTATTTCTTGGGAAAAGATGGGAGTAGCATAGAAACATACAAGTGTAGGTGTGTGCGTGCTCCTACAAACACACATATGTACATACAAATATATACTGTGTGCATACATACTATATCATATATAGCATAAATTAGATTTGTATCTCGATAACTACAGATTTATTATACATGTGTGACTATATTAATAGTTCTTAATATCATGTGTGGTGATGAAAGAGCCACTGCTAAAAATCCACATGTAGAATCACAGAATGGTTTGGGTTGGAAAGGACCTTAAAGCTCATTCAGTTCCAACCCCCTGCCATGGGCAGGGACACCTCTCACTAGACCAGGCTGATCAAGGCCCTTGAATGTTGCCAGGGATGGGCATCCACAGCTTCTCTGGACAACCTGTTCCAGTGCCTCACCACCCTCACAGTAAAGAACTTCTTCCTTGTATCTAACCTAAATCTCCCCTGTTTAAGCTTGAACACATTGCCCCTTGTACTATTGCTACAGTCCCTGATGAAAAGTCCCTCCCCAGCATCCTTGTAGGTCCCCCTTCAGATAGTGGAAGACTGCTATGAGGTTTCCACACAACCTTCTTTTCTCCAGGCTGATTTACATAAAATAATTGTGTAAAAATGAGGCTCTGCTCCTTTCATCTTTGATTGATATCCTGGGTGAAGCAGCTGTTCTCATGCTGGTCAGGCATGCTTAGACATGCAGTATGATTAAGATTATTTGGATTATTGCCACCACAATAGCTCTGGTGCTCTGACGGATTGGAGAGATGGTGTGGTCACTGTGGTGGCCTGAAGACCTACGCAAGTCGAATAACAGAACATCATTTTTTAATTAAAAAAAAGAACGAAAGAAGAAAAAGCTTTGCTTACCATTAAATGCCCTTAAAAGTTTGAGTGAATAGGTCCACCAGACAGCTGGGGGGGGGCTGGCTTGCACAAAGCAGGTCAGGGTGACGTTCAGCCCCACTGGGACTGTTAGGTTTGTGTCAAGGGCTGAGGTCAGGGGCTTCATGCAGCTGTTGAGCTCCACTTCATAAAAAAACTTCCCTACCCTGAATTTTGGACTTGAGCAAGTTAAATAGGAATTCATCAGAATAATAGGTGGGCCAACTGACTTGATAAACTGGACAAATCCCCGCAGGCGGCAGTCACAAATCCAGGGGTTGTCGTGAAGAGCCAGGACAGCATTGGAAATAGCTTCTATGTGCCCCTCTCCCCT